ACATATCGTCAAGGGAAATTGAGCTCTGAATCTCTCACTCTCTTAATCATGACACCCGTTTCGGCCCGAGGGTTTACGCGATAAGTAAGTTGATATCATTTTCAGCCTTCCACGCGAGTACTCTATCTGCCGTGGTGATGGTGTCGATGTTGACGACGTTGGGTCAATTGGCGAATGCGCCATTGGCGACGATATCTTCTTCCTCTGCTCATCACCCTCTATTTCTTCCCTTGCTGACGTATCACAAGCCAAGCCAGGTTCTTTCCTTACTACTCTACTCAGGCACACGATATTAGAAGAAGAAAAGAAAGAAGTCAAAACTCGGGATTCAGTAGGGCTGCTGCAGCTGTCTCGGTACATTCAATCCAATCTGAAGAAGCCTTTTCCTCAGTTGGCCATTCTGAAATTAGCATATGCGATATCTTCAAATGCTTGGTCAGAAATCTTAGCTAGGGTGGCCTCTTGTACTCATAAATCTGCCTCCTCCTGGTATGCTCTCTCTCTGATTGGGAAGGGAGGCGAAAGCCACACACACAGGGTGGCGTTGATTATCGGTTTTCTGACGGTTTTTGGAGTGGGCTTTTACCCGGTCATCTTCTAAAGGCCGCTGAGATCAATCTAAGGTTCTCGGGCTTATGAGGCTAGTAAGAGCTTCTCTCTGGATGGTATTTCGGCTGCAGATATAGAAACTGCATACGATCCTTAATCTCGAAGTGGAATGTTATTAGTCATGTCACTGACTATGTACGTAAAGTAGGCACCTGTCGATGGGTTTCAGCGGGGTAGTTTTCTATCGGGCTGGCTGGCGCGGGCGAATTTCTGACACCTAATTTCTATTCTAAAGACTAGTAAAGACATCGCTACTGCTAGGCCATCTCTGAAAGGAACCCAGGTGTCGTGCTTCGGGTCAGAAGGAGCATGCAGGAAATGATACAGGTCTCATGCCGATTCGATTCCGTACGGCAGGCCCCAGTGGATGCCCCACACCGTTCCCACAATTCTACTCTTGACCCGACTAGCTGTCCCGAGAGTTTAGGTAAAGTATGTGGTACCTAGAGTACACTATTCTCAATGCTCAGCTTTCAATAAGTTGGGCCGGTTCTTAACCGCCACTGCCGTTGTTGAACTGCTCTCCAAATTAATAGAGTTTTTCGGTGGGGGCCACCAGGGTGCTTCTGGAACGGAAAAAAAAAATCAGAGAGAGGGATTCCGAAAACAAAGTGACCCGATTGGCTCACCGCCTGAACGAATGCGATTTAACGTTTTACATCTCATCGAAACTTGGAACCCTCCATCCACGATAGCCCAATCTACGAAAAGGAAAGGGAAGCTTAGGGCGTGCAGGCACAACGTCATGCGTCAATGCCGTCAACGCAAGAAAATCTTTTAGTGTCCGTTCCTTCTCGGTTGCGGCAACCGTTTTGATCAGGGATTCCAGATAGAGACTAACGTTTCGAGGGTCCTGGGAGAGCTAGGGAAAAGGGTAAAGAAGGGAAGGAAAAGAAAAGAAAAAAAAAAACCTCCTCGCCCGCCTGCGCTGCGAACAGCTCACAGAAAGAAAAGGACAGCGGCTGCTGCTGGAGTGTGTCATCACTCTACCCACATATCACTAACTGAGTTTCAATGGTTATCTTTACCGTCATATGTATAAGATCTTTGATCTATCATCAGAGCATAGAGTACCTACATATTATAACCGATTTAATCGCAACTCCCCCCCTCTGCCCCCCTGGAACCCCTCTGCCCCCCTGGAACCCCTCATTATTTTTAGTTACTGTTTCCCATTCGTACGGTAGAACCGGTACTATCAAGGAAAGAGGGGGTGTCCTCATGATCACATCTACATAATACTATGCCTACATAGTGCAGAGAGGGAGGGATTGCTTGCTTGCCTGCGTTGCTATCATCACCATCACAGGAGGAGGGGGTGGTACATGATGCCTCTAGGAAGGAAAAAGAAAGAGTCGAAAGTTGCCGTTACATTTCAAATGAGAACGGGCTCACACTAACAAAATAACCGACTAACTGGGTGGTCGGAATAGGTAAAATTACCCTATTACCGTCATCGCATTTAGAACAAACAGCCTCGGCTTCCGTGATGACTGGTCCATGGGGTATGGTACTCTTACTGCTGCTCGTCTGCGCGCAGCTCTTCTCCAGGCATTATCCTCAAGCTTTCCCTCCGCCAATGGTTATATGTTTCAGATGTTTACTCTATATAGTACTCAATCTCATTCATCGTAATATAAACATGGAGGTGAGGTTTCTCTCAGGCACAGCTAGCAAGATCTAGCATACAGCGATAAACCAATGTGTTTGAAACATATATATATGATTATAATTATATCTATATATTCTGCACATATATGCTATGCTGCCTGGATAGGAATGGACAGGGAGGTTTGAATCGTGGACGCCGGACCGGCATTATAGTATCGAACCATCATGAATCTTCATTCAAGATACAGTACTACTACTCTATATGATAATTATGCGGTATAGAGTTAACCCAAGCTGGTCCAGGCAAGCAAGGATTCTATTCTACAAGTATTCAGGTTGTTATATACGCAGAAGCAGAAATGCCGTTCTACAGCAGCAGCATAGCTGCGGATAACAAAACCTTAAAGATGCCAAGAAATTATGGAAAAAGGCCACCAAAGTGCCGATGAAGGGAAGAGAAGGGCGTAGTACTGCAATCTAGCAGCAGCAGCAGCATCCAGCTATGATTCCCACGTTTCCATAATTCTACTGCTGCTGCAACCCGTCCCAATATATATCAGTTCGGGAGACGTCCCCAATTCTGATTGCGCATCTCTCATTATGTAGAGTATCTTATGCTCAGTGCCATGGCCATGCAACCTAACAGATCGCCGGAAATGCAACAGATCTTGATTAAAAAACGTTTCTTTCCCCTCCCAATGCCCGGTAACTGCTGCACAGGTGGGGTGGTGTGCCCAGGCCTTTTCGGAACGCACGTGCGTTGAGCTCTTCAAAGGCTTAAAGGTTTTTTTGAAAGGTTTATGTTTAGTAGACTATGGCCAAGACAATTCATGTAACCACAGCTCGCCAATGTTCACTGAATCACATTTCCAGCTGCTTGGCTGTAACCCCTACTCTAGATAGCATGTCAATATCAATCAATCATATCACCTGAGATATAGGAATACTTTTGCCGGCCGAATGGAACTCACAATGGGTAGTACAATAAAGCATTTACATGCCCAGCTTCTGTTGCAAGCTGTGCTCTAGAGTAAATGATAACTCATCTGCAGGCGGAAAGCTGGGTATCCCTACTATAGCAACCTAGCAAGTACCCAGAAGCACCAGTACACCGAAAAGCAAAGCTGATCGAGGTGGAATACCTACATATTGGGGTATATCTCTACTAGTATACACCTACCTAGCTAGGCTCACGATTTATCCGCGCCATCATCATCATCTGTAACTGACAGAAGGAGACCAGCTGGTGGAATTGACTTCATATGTCATGTAATCACAGCTCGCCTTGTACAGCCTCGTCCGACCCCCCATATAATAATATATATATTTCAAGCACCGCAAGCAAACATTGTCCCGGCTAATTAACACGATCTGGAAGGACAACTAAGTATGTAGCTACAACTAGTTTTACGCAGATGTGCGCACGAGTAGGAATGTTTCCCAAGTGCTTCCAAGTTTTTTCTTTCTTTTTTTCCCCCATTTCGCATTTAATTTTTTAATTTTTTTTAAATTATTGAAATGACTATTTTGGAAACAGATGTCAAACAAGAGGTCATGAACATCATCCCACTTCCCCCCCCCCCCCCCTTTGCAAAGAGGTCCTCGCGATCTTGCACCACCCGCTGATTATCTTGCCTAATATTCGTGTAAACACGTTTGTTGCAAGGGTCTGCCTGCGTGAGACTTTGAGGCTCCCCAGCACGAGGCTGGAGAGGTAAAAGCAAGCAACAGCTCAAAGCATGACAAGAGCAGGCATAAGTATGTCACGTACAACGTCCGGGTATAATCTATGGGGTTCGGTGAAGCTTTGCATCATGTATACCAGGTACATGGCTGAGAACCCTAACCCTCTTTCTTAAAAGCAAAGAATATCGAACTAGAGTTATTCCGTGGTTACTTGCTTCATCTTTGTAAACCACACACCACACACGCGCACAGGCGCCGGTAATCCTCCAAAACTCCTTCCATCCGAGCGAGACATTCCTAGGCAAAGAAAATAGCGGACAGGGATCGATCTGCAGGCAAGGTAGGTTGAGTAAGTCATCGTGCTTTCTCTGCGCAGCAGCTCAGTGTCTTGACTTTAGATCTCAGGAATAAAATAAAATAAAATAAAACATAAAAAGTGCAAAAAGTAAAACCCCGGAACCCTCGGATCCTCCTTAACGAAACTTCGCCTCCAAGGTATCGTATATACAGCGAATTGTTACTATAGATAACTCTTTCAATCCCAAAATGTCTTGAATCCCGTAATAAATCCCAGCAACTCCGATATGCAAAGTAAAAGACTGAAAAACAGAAATACTGAAAAATAGAGAGACAAAAAAGACAGAAAACTAAAGAAACCAATCGCCTTAGCGTAGCACAGGCCTCCTCCGCCGCCGCCGTCCTCGTAATACAAAAAATGAACTCAAGAACTTCTATTTACATGAACATCATTACTAGCTGCTAGCTCCTATATAGACCAATCCCCATTTCCGCTGCTGCGCGCTGATATGATGCAATTCTCCGTGAAGGTGAGGGCTAAAAACTCCCAGTTGTTGCGCCACTACCGTCTATGATCGGGAGCGTAATATGGAGGGCCACCTAAGGTGATATCTTGGCCGTGGGGGTTTTCGGGAGTAGACACAGCTCAGACAGAAGTTGTGGCCGCAGTCGCAGGTTGTGCAGTGGCTATTTCGGCCACACTGGCAACAGGTCCAAATCATTTTATATTGGGGTTTTGTTTATTGATTTTCGTCTGGTTAAAGGTAAGGTGGTTTGTATAGTATGAAGGCTTGTATTTAGATCTGCGGTGCGTCGCTGTGGGTAGGTACTGTAGTAATGTACTGTACTATCGAGAATGGTTAGTATGATGATTTGTAAGAATGCGATAAAGTACCCTCCCCCTGCTATGGAAACCTACTGTAGGTGGGTAAAACGCGACAAGATCTGGTATCGAGCTTCAATTGCAATGTTGCACCCTTCGTAGATAGACTATCTTTTAATGACCGCGCAAAACTCTGGCGCTCGAAGCTTCCTTTATAAAGAAACAGAAGACGTTGAAGGAGGAAGCCGATGAGGTCTTAAAATTCGAAAAGGCAGGAGAGATTATTGCCACTTCGCCACAGAAAGATTTGCTTGAATTGGAGCTGACTATGTTCGACTCCGGGAGAGTGTCCAGTTCAGTTTTCAGTTCAATAAGCTGAGTGGTAATATCCGAGGTTTTGAGTACCTTTTAAATGGATGATGGGATAGGCAATACTAAGCTGAAGCCCTTTTTCTTGACGGCACCGAACCCGGTGCTTATATAGTTACTTCATCGACATTTTTCACAATGGAGTAGCTTCGGATTTGGGGGGGGGGTGTTCATTGGAGGAGGGGGGAGGTGTAGTGGAACAGGGAAACCCTTGTCATCACGCTTCAATAGCTGCTTTTCTGTCGCGATGTTCGAGAAAGGAGGGGGGAAGTGACAGGCCTTTCCAGTGCGTTTTTTTGGCGCTTGTGGGGGGGGGGGGGGGTGAGTGCAGGCTACAGGGACCTCCGCCGGAGAAATGTATACATAAGTGATCCTACCCTCCTGGACCCTCCCTTCATGCTTTTTACGAATGGAATCCGCATTTTTTTCCCACAAGTCGGACGTCGCTAGCCGTCAAACCACACCATGGACAGACTATTCCCTCTTTGAACCTTTTGTGGGTAGGGAACGGGTTGACCATGTGCTGGGTCACAAGATTTTAATATTGGTGCTCGAGTATTGACATCGGTGTAACTTTGGTAGCGGGGTATCCTTGAATGTGTAGAGTGGTTTGGATTGTAGAGGACCGAATTATTAGTGCCTGAGAAGGGGGGTGACAGGCGTGGCAGTGGATGCCAACCTCCTTTCGTTGCTTGCTTTATTGTATGTTGCTTTGAAAGTTGATTACTGTGACCAAGTAAGCACACTCCACCTGGCTCCCATCACAACCACAACCAAACCGCAACCACAACCACAATCATAACAATATTAACCCCCCTCACACACCCCAGATCTCAGCGATCCATGCAGGTCCAACTGCCCTCTTAGCTGAAGCAGGCAGAAGTACCCAAGTAAAGTAGGCCGAGTATCATGTACCTACCGCCTAGGTCGATTTACAAACCCTGGAGTCAAAGCCGGATTGCACAATTGATTTCCTTTACATGAGTTGCTTTGCATACACATACATAAGGATATACCTACTTTGCGTATGTGCACACATACAGACATACAGTTACATCCTCTAGCTACGTAGAGTAGCTACTAGCTCTACTCCATATCTACATAAAATCAATCAATCAGTCAATCAACCAATCTGTAAATCAATACCATACACCTTATCACGACTGTCAAATCATCCGATGAGGATTAACGTTACTCGCAGTGTACTCCGATTGGGCAAGGACACATGTTGTCCGACTGCATAGGCCGTTCAATACCGCAATATCGGTACGCTTAAGACGATATATTGCCAGGGATGCTTATAATAGTCTCGGCGGTATGACTGCCTCGGCGGGATTAAAAACTCGACGAAAGGATAATGTATGTATCTAGGTGCTGTGTACTACGGTACACGGTGCAGCTCCACCATGACTCCACTTAATTTTTTTTTTCTTCTCTCGCTCTCCGAGGCCGGTGTATACAGGCGGTGTAGATACCGAGTGGCAACAAAACCAAGCAATTCTTGAAAGGAATTGAGGTGCAAGGATATTTTTTTTTGTTGGTTACTTATTACGTCGGTTTGCAGGAAGTTCATCGATTACCGCTGCTGCTGGCCCCTAGCTAGCTGAGATAATGCGACTTTCTAGAGTACTTCGCACGTGCTCACCCCGCATTGGAGAACACACTGCCTCTGTGCACAGTTCTAGAAACTTTCTCTTGTGGTTGTTACACAAAACGCTGTTTGCCTAGCTGCCTTGGCTTCCCCCCACCCTTGATGATGGGTTCTAGAAGACTGTTTTCGCCCCCGAATGTCTCTCTTTTTGCTCCGGCCGGCCATCGACATTTGTCGTGAAGATTGATTGCCCTCATTCTAAGGGGGCTGGCAGGGAGAGGTGATGTTTGGTTACAAGCTAGTTGTGTTCCTAGCAAGGGCAGTACCAAAGGGAGGGGAGATCTCATTCTGGCAAACATAATTGGTGCACATGTCCGGTCAATGCCACTGATTGGTTATCAGAAACACGAAGCCTACATACATACAACTTGAATGGACCCTATCAATCATCATATCTACCAACCATACCTACTGAATGTAGGTGAAGATGCGAATCACTTAATAGTGTCCATCTCGCCGGGCCCGGATACCGAGCTGTCAGAACGGTCCATGTAGCCAAAGATAGGATAGCTCACTGTTACGTCCTTCCTTTTAGAGATGATATTATCATAGGGCGATGCTTGGATCTCTTTTTTCCGATTAACAATCGCCTAGCCCGTTTCCCAGAAACCTGACTTTCAGGCAGGATGTGCTCCCGAGGCAACGATTAGAGTAGGATACAAAATGCCATATATACAGTACTGTATGGTTCCGTACCAAGAGATTGTGCGTTTTAGGAAGCCGTTACATACATGACGACAGATAATGTGCTTCAAACGACATGAGGATTTCTAAGGCATAAGTTGTGATGATTATCGAGGCACACATATCATCGTCCGGAAATAGTAACCGTCACAAATACCAGGTTCATGAGCTCTCTGCTACTGCTGCACAGTGAGCATACATACATAATGACTACCCTCCCAAGAAATTGCGTATTTTGCCACGGTGTCGCAGCTTGTCATGGCTTCAGGGACTGGTCCTATTACAGGCCGGAAAGCCGCTTCGTTGTGAACAACAAAATACCTCTTCTACCTGCAGTAGTAGGTACATGAGTTGAGAGAAAGCCTATCGGTTATAACCAGATCAAATATCTATCGATGGTACGCGTACAGTCAAAACTAGTCAAAAAAGGGCTCTCTGGACTAAAGGCAATCAACGGCCCCATGCGGTGACTGTATCTCAATTGGTGACCTTATTTGGTTTTTGGGTACTCTCAGGCATAATACTCACACACATATACCTATATACGTATACTACAGGCCACATCTCTCACATTTTGAATATGATGAGAATTCAAAAAGTCAGTTTAGTCTGATCACGCGTCATCACGGATTTAGGATAAAGTTGTCGGGGATTTAGACGTCTTGAGAACATTCCTGTTGTACCCACGGACGTAGATTTGCGCCTTTCTCGCATAATAAAATAAATGCTTGATCCGACTAACGTCCCTGAATGGTGTAGGCAGTACTCGGCTAGTAGCGTCAATTCACATCTGCATACTTATTTATCTAGGACCTATGTCAAAGAAGGATGCTTGTTGACTTGTTGATCTGCGTTAAATTTATATAAGCCGACTGGTTGGATTGGCCTGACTCGTATTGACAATTAAGAGGCTAGATCCAATTGGTGGCATTTCACACCATTGCCAGTGAAAGACGAGTGAGGTTTCATGATCCGCGTCCGAACTCGTCGTTAATAATCCAGATGGCCGTTCAAAGACAACACGGCCTTAGAGCTATTGGAGGCGATCGTTATTAGGGAACGGAAAATTTGGTTGTACAGAATCCATCCAGGTGTACTGTTTAGTGCAATTTATTTAGTGATTAGTACGAGACAATTGTACAAGCTCTCAAGATCAGGTCTCGGGACTTGGGACAAGGCAATTCAAGATCAGCACTCAATGTCTCGGGATAAGTCTGGAGACCCAGAAACCGTCATATTTTTGAATTATTCACCAGAAGAATGAGGTGTTTTGACTGATTTCTTTATGTTAGTTCTCCCTGATCGCTTGTAATGCTTACGCAAGGTCTAGGGCCAAAGCAACGCCTCTAAAGAAATTTGGTAAAAATCACGCGCAAAGTAATGGCAGGATTGACCTCCGACAAATTCTGGACTTTCTGGGTTCTGGGTTATAACTATCAAGACGAGACAAGACTTATTTAAGTCTCATCTCCTTTGGTCCGTGTCCATCACTACATGTAGATTTATGGGTATTTTGTTCATCGAAGCGCGGCCTTGGAAAATCACAACAGATGATAGTTCCCGTCCCCGGGAACGAAGTTGAAGCTGATATCACCTACGCTACATCAGTATTAGCGGTGAGTAATTCAGCTGAACAAGCCTTCTTCTAGACTTGAAGTGCAGGACCCTGGCTAAGCTCTCGTCTCATTTATAATTGGGCCAATCCACATATAACTGGCTGAAGAACTCTCAAAAACAGGAAATCTTAGGATCACCATAAGAAGGCCCGTGAATGCATATGCACCCCAGACACATTTTCATGGCGGACTGGGTCGGCATGCTACCAAAATCTAGCATTTCGTACGGCCTTTTGCACCTATGCAGGCCCAGCCCGCCCCCAAAGCGCCAGAATTCTACGAGTATAGCACGAGGAAGATCTCAATTAATCCGAACCGCTAGATATGCCAACATGCTAACAGGCTCAAATGCCGATTTTCGATACCGCTCCATGTCTAAAGTGGAACTTTCAATGCCGAACCGTTCCCGATATATTTTCTAACCACATTACTAACCCACCATACCATAGTGGCCGTATTGTGTGATAGCTCACAAACTCCATGTATGTGTGGTATATTGCTCTATGTACTCGCAATACCTTTGTACTTGTGTGTAGATTGATTGACGTGTGTAACGAGCAAAAACAGTTACCGGTCCTTCTTATCGGCCCATCGCCTACCCTTTCACTTTATGACCCCCACTATCCGAGCTTTCCGCTTGATATTCCGACGCGGATCCATGCAGAAAAAAATCTATTGTCGTTTATAACTTCTTATCCGAGTATGCCGGTTTCTTCTGGTCTTCCTCCATACTTCACTTCAAACGGGTACAGCATGGGACGGAAAGCTCGCTGATTATTCGGAATATCTTGAGATGTCACTCAGTCCTATGATAACACGAAGTAGGCCAGGACCCTAAAACCCGACGGACGACATAACTAAAGCTTACAAATAACTCCTAACTCTAAGTAGCGTGTTAACCTGGTTGGTCATTCCCATCAATTGATTGGATCCCAATGTTCACCCTCCGTGTTAGGCATAACCCTAGCCCGTTCGGTCTAATTGCACCTGTCTTAGAAGAAAGCTTGGTGACCAGAAGTTGTTTTGTGTGTAGCCATAGGGGGTTTTGATATGTTCGGGCACCAACTCCGAAGTACAATGCTGTATGCCTTTCGGCGTTTCACTGGGGTAACCCTGCGGTCCCTATTAACCCTCATCTATGTATGTGGGATATTCACAATTCCCCGACGCCCGTCCGACCGTAATGTGATTGTATTCCTAGGATAGGAGCATGTGATTCGAGGAAAGCGCCTGTCCAAGTGACCAATCTCCCTCTGTCTAATTGAGGGAATACAAAATGAGCGTTTCGGAAGGTTGACTGCATAGAGGTTTATCTCGAGGTCTGACAAGACTTAATACTTCTCTCACCACTTCAGACAGGCCATCTGAAGTAGCTGGCCGTCATTGAGAGTGGCGAGACTTCAGAGAGATACCCGGCCAGGGCCAAGAGTTAACAGCCTATCATTCCACATCAATGAAAGAGGACGTGCACTTCCTCACTTTTCTGCCACGTTTTGAAGCTCGGATGATAGATCCTTAGTGTGGATGAACTATATATGAAACCATTCTAGAATGTCAGCCTTGTTTCATCCGAAGCCGTTGCGTGATGTTGGTGAAATCACGTGAAGCGCAGAAATGTGGTTAAGTGTCACGTGTAGGGGCTGGGAATGAAGACTACATGAAATACCAAGAGTTTAAAGATATCATCACGACTGGATGGTTTGAAAATGCATTGAGTCATCAGTAATTTGGAGTCGGCCGTACTATCCCGGTACTGGAAGCACGGACAAGTATATAACTTTATGGACACTGTACAGTTGTCAAGTGCATAGGCTCTGCACAGCGTTGGTAATGACCCACGACCCGTAACGACCGGTCACTAGTGTGAGGACCCAGTCGGGGACCCATGGGTCGTAAAAGGTAATGACCTAGGTCGTATCCTCTTCCGGGGTGGGATCATCAATTTATGAAAAACTTGAGAAAAGTCTGTATCTTTTTCTAATAGAATCGCCTTTCTTGGTACTGATACAATACTACGACCGGTCGAAGACTTGGTCTCATCAAAATGGTTATGACCCGACCCCAAGATAAATCGTTAGGACCCCCGGTCGTTACCTACACTGCCTCTGCATACTCCATGCGTATGGAGAAAGTCTCCGTCAATACTCCAACGAAGAAGAGTTAATATCGGCCTATAGTAAGCTTCTCCGGATAAATTTATCTTCCGAATATATATATATATTGCTAGGCTAGCTGATTCCAAGGTAGATCAGTGACAAGTGTCTATGCTGACCAGCCTGAATCATAGAGAAAGATCCGCATACATTCTCAAGAACATGTGTTGGGTATAATGTTCAATCACGTCAAGCTGGGTTCCAAAACGTTTTTAAGTCTACGGGAAGGGCTTGCAGCACTTTACGGATGACCGGATCAGAAACTATTACGTAAATGATTTGTTCCGAGTGATATCCTATGATTGAAGCTGGTGATGCGGGTTGCTAGCCGGATACCTGATCCAAGAGGGATGGTGGATTCTGTACCGATTATATCCGGTTTAACCCTCATGACCTGGTTACCGATGTTAAGAGGGAACGAGGTGTTTTCCACATGGCTATACGTGAAGCTAGGCACTCTAGCTTCAAAGGTGCAATCCAAGCATACCGAAGGCAACTCGTCTCGATGCGTTGGACCAGGACTATCATGAACACTTCGGCTCCGTGGAGCTCTAAAGTTTCAAATGTCTTCTTCACTTCCCCGCCTCCAGATAAGGTGAAGAGCTAGATTAAATATTATATTAATGATATACACGAACTATACCGAGGCCTTGAGGCTTTGCCCCTAGACAGGGTATATACAAAGAAAGACGAGACGGTTTATGACCCAAAACGGCAAGTCATGAAACAGAAGTTACATATAGTTAAGCGTACCTGGCCGATCTCGAAAATACATGTCTAGACATCCTACACGGACCACCAACTAGCTGCAAGAGCGTTGAGGGGAACGCGGGATATATTACTCCACTGGAGATATATATTGAACCACCTTCCGCTACTGACAAGGCTAGAGATTTTACCAGTCGTGTCTTCTCTGGACTGGGGGGTGGGGTGGGGTGCGGTTGCTAAGTGACGGGTTAGGGTAACCATAATCGGAGCGCACTTTTGCCTGTAAGCTTGAGTGCTGTACCCCATACCCTGCGATACTGCAGGTTGTCAAGCGCCTTGCTTGGGCTCCTAAGCACTTTGGGACGAAAATATCTACCAGTAAGGCAGGTTTTTTTGATATAAATCTCGTGACTGAGATCTTTTTACCACGCGAGTGGAGAAGTTGCTTGGCACCTTTGTTATAGCTAGGCCACTTCAACTGTAAGTGATATTCTCGCGATCGCAAGCTCGTGAGTGCATGTCGAGGTATGCAGTTGGACATTCCATAATTATATAATAGTTAATAACTAAGAGTCGTATAGTTCTTGGTTAGAGGTCACCAGATTCAACTCAAAACACACCAAAATAGCCATCTCCAGCCTTCCCCATCACGGATTTTTAAAGGATTAACTTGAAGTTTTGTATAATAAATTTATAGGAGGGCGAATCATTCTCTAATCCAGTCCTGTAAATATTAATTTTGCACTAGCTCTAGCAGTTTTTAAACCGGTACGAACAATCCTGAAATCTCTGCCAAGACCTCGAATTTGTATGGGACTTGGCAGATTCCAAATTGCTCTCGCCCTGAGTCATGTAGATCCTCCAATAACTGCCGCACGGTTGTGTCATCTCGTCCCCACAGACCATACGTGCTCCATCAGTTACCCGCGCGGTTGGGAGGCGCATATATGTAGTAGCCAGTTAAAAAAAAACTGCAAGATACGTAGAGTTTTTTTTTTTTTTGTTGGGGGGGGGGGGGGGGGGGAGCAAGAAAAGAGAGAACGGACATGGATCTCAATCCTTTGCGGCAGCTTTCACCCTCCAGTCAATATCCTCTGGCCGCGGTACACATATATATGGCCACTCTCCAAAAGTGTTTAAATGAATACCCTAAACAGACGGTTAATGCTGATGACTTCATGACAGGGTTTCATTAGATCATTAGTAATGCTACCTATCCAGTTGATTAGTTGAGTTAGTTGACCATCGGTGTTCATCGACACCGCGATCAATGCAGAGCGAAGCTATGATGAGGATGATCTAGCTAGGAACAGTGTCATCCAGACAGGTGGTTGAATACCCATCGGATCTCGCCAAGCTAGCGTAAAAACTGGAGCTTAACCAAAATTACCAAAACAATTATGTAGGAGCCATAACATGTAATCGTACCTTGTTGTTTTAGAAAGAAAATATCTTCTTCCCCTTGTTGGGTGGCCATTATATTATGTCTCCCGTTACAACACTAAGATCTTGTAGGGCGATTGTTGGAGATGTTTGTAATGTTTAATCGGAGCTATGTGATATATAGTTCTCGACACGTTTTTAAATGCGGTAAAATAAGGGTTCCGGAATTCACATTTTGGATTTATGTCCTGAAGTAGTTGTCTGTTAGGGTACATATTTGCATAGTCGGTTATTTTACGTATGAGTACAAATTCGCTCTCGTGGACGGGGAAAAGACACATTTAGCATCATAGAGCATCACTCGCACACCAATAAGCCACTTGCTTACAGTATTTAAAAGAATCGAGCTATCTTTACTGCAGCGGGCGATGCTTTTTAATTGTACGCAAAACCAAGGCGGCGTTCCAGGCCTTTTTCGTAAAATCAATCAAAGATTCCATTGGTATAACTAACAAAAAAGAAAAAAATCCAGTCGAGTGACACGCCATGAACAAAATGCATAGTAAAGGGTTTGAAAAAAGAAAAAGAAAATACAAAGTACATGATGATACAATGACTAGCACATACAACCACCTTTTCCTGATATCAATACAAGCCTAACTATCCATACAAACACTCCTCATAGGCACCTCTCCACCCCATGCCCTCATCTTCTAGGGCCACAGCCATCCTCTCGACGCCCTCCTCCCGTCTCCTGATTCCCTTCACCAGATCGCGCCAGAACCACCTTGCCTCCTTGTCCTCAACAAGTGTGAACGCATCACCCTCTTTCCCGGCTCTCGCAGTACGGCCGACTCGGTGCACGTATGCGCGGGTACTGGAGGGGATGTCGTAGTTCACGACGTTGTCCACGTGAGGCAGATCCAGACCACGAGATATAAGGTCGGAACAGATGAGACTATTGAAACTGTTAGCTAATGTGCAATAGATGATAGCGGATAGATTTATGGGATTACATTTGAACTTCGTCTTTCTTGAACGAGCGAAGGACTTTCTCACGCCGCTTCTTCTCCATTTCTCCAGTGACTAGACCGGTAGTCCACCCAGCCTCTTTTGAAATCCCGATCTTTTCAACGACTGTATCGATGAGCTTCGCCAGTCGTGCAGCACCCTCGTTACTCTTTACGAACACGATGGTACCTCTCTTGATACTACGGTTGCGGAGGAGATACATCAAGTAGAGGGGCTTATACTCCTTGTTGACGATCGGAATCGCGTATTCTCTCAACTCTGTCGGAACCGAGAACACTTCCTCAGGCATATCTTCGTCGTCCTCGTTCTCATCATCCTTCGCCGTGCCGTCCGCGCCAACAGGCTTCTCAACAACGACCATCGTCGGTCTCCTCAGCTTCAGCCCTGCAAGCTTACCCGCATCCTTCGTCATCGTCGCGCTCAAAACGACCTTCCTCACAGCAATCTGCTGCGCCTGAACATTGATGCCCAGGTCCTCCAGAACGTCCTCCAACCCATTCCCCCAGTCCTGATCCTTCGCCGCGGTCTCGATAGAGCCCACAACTACGTCAACCCATTCCTGGAAACTCTGTGCGAGTAGGCGATCCGCTTCATCAATGACGAGCCACTTGACCCACTTCAGACAAAACCCGGGAGTATTTTTGATATGCTCTACCAGGCGTCCGGGAGTCGTGATGAGGATGTCAACCTTACTGCCAGTGTCGGGATCAATCAGGAGGGCCTGCTCGGCCGCGAGTGCCTTCGACCCAATTCCGGTCCCGACCTTGAGGCCAGTACCGGAAGTTAGGGAGACGGCGGTCGAGAAGACTTGGGAGACGAGTTCTCTGGTTGGGACTACCACCACTGCTCGGAGGCGGGTGACAACACGGGTGGAGAGCGATTGGACAATTGGAAGGATGTAGGAGAGGGTTTTCCCGGACCCCGTGGCGGCGGAGATACAGACGTCGCCGGCTTTAGGGTCCAGGAGCAGCGGAACTACGGCAGACTGCACGGCGAATGCGTTGGGCAGGTTTAAGGTCTCGAGGCGTGTAAGGAGCTTTGGTGATATGCCAGTCATGCCATTAAAGGGAACTGTAGTTGCCGGCGTGACAACAATTGGGGCCGCGAGCCATGGGGGGAGTGAAGAGGCGAGAACGGCCAGGCGTTTGGGGTCTTTGGTGGGCGCGGGCTGAGGGAGAGGTTCAAGGCCCTTTGCTTCTATCGCTTCTTCTTCAACCTCGGGGGCGGCGGGTGTGAGTGTAGCTTTGGTTTTGACTTTAACAAGCTTTTGGAGAATTGACTTGTGTTTTGATAGCCCAGAGGCGTCTTCTTCACCCTCGCCGGAGGCTATCTTGGACTTTTTCTCTTTTTTTGAGTGTTTCTTGTCCTTCTTTTCCGGTTTCGATTCTTCGTCGTTGGCAGCTGGTGGTGGTACCTCTTCTGTGGTGACAGTAGTAATAGTGGTGGTGATTGTATTAGTATTATCATTATTATCATTATCGACGTCCTCCGTGGCCGTATCTGCCTTTGATTTTTTCGATTTCTTGTCCTTTTTCCCTTTCTTCGAGGGAGTCTGCTCAGCATCCTCCTTCGCTTTCTCCTCCGTTTCTGTACCAACGTCTGATCGCCGCTGCTTTCTCTTCTCTCGTTTCTCTTCTTTCCTCTTTCTCTTCTCTTCTTCGGCAGTGAGCCCGGCCCCGGCGTCCTTCATGTCGATATCCTCATCGTTTCTTTTTCGTTTCTTTAGCTTCGCAATTATGCTGGCCACCTCAGCATCATTCGTACTCATCATTGTTATTGTATATCTGTTGTTTTGTGTGGTGAATATTTGTAATTTATATAAATATCGCCGATGTGGGGTAGTGGTAGTAGTAGTAAAATTGATAGTAAATATTAAAAAGAACGTATTGTATCGAGCACAGAGAAAAAAAGTCAACGAATCGCAAATGCCAAGCAATTGAGGCTCCTAGCGGGCCATGCCAAGCTTTTGGGCCACACGGAATATGATCCCACGTTTCTGGTTGGGCGACGAGTGGGACGAGTAGGCCGAGACAGCGCGGGCAGGCAGTATCGATAAGGGGCGAGAGAAGGTAATGCTGGACATGAGGAGGTAGAAGAGAGTTCCGGTGGGGAGCGAGGCAAGAATGCGGAGGGAACGGAAGATGAGCATTTTGGCTGTGGTGGGGGATTTATTAAAGATTATAGATTTGAGTATTTGGTTATTTGAATGCTTAATTAGAGGTTGAAGCTGGCTGGCTTATTGGTCGTACTGGGAATACAGCGAGTGTGAATATATCGAATAGCCACAGAGCACAGAGGAAGAGAGCTTGAGAAGTGAATTGTGAATGGAATTGGTCCTCCCCCAACGTCTTCTAGAGCTCTCTTTAAAAAGAAGCCCTTCCCTACTCGCTAGCTATCCTCCATTTCAGGGGGAACGTGCGTGTGATCGAGAGAGCTGTCATTCCACCGTTTAACTCGCTTTACTCATACCGAATCAGTATTACCGCCAGGGTTAGGGTTCTCAACAATTTCTGTAACGAGGAAAGAATGCGAAGGTGTCATTCCCAGATGTCCTTAGCGCGGTCTCAATTATACACGTGAGGCGTAAGCTCTTGCTCGAGCCAGCTTGCTACATGTCGAGGAGTGTAAACGAACCCCAACGCACCTTTTTTATTTCTAAAAGAAATAATACTCAACCAACTCACCCAACAATTCGAATAACCCCGGTAGACCTCATAAGATGCGTTTCACACCTGGTGCCACTATGGCCTCACGCCTTTATTCGATCTACGGCGCTTTTAGTCTGTTCTCGTCGGTAGCTTTCGCGGCTTCGTTGACAGGGTCACGGTTGCTGGTGGTCTTGGAGGACACGGAACAGAAAGCGAGCTATTCACAATTCTTTGGGGATCTAGAAGGTTTGTTTATTTGCGATGCTGGAGTTGCAATTGAGTTGTGTGCGCTGACATTTCTGTGTCCTTTCCCCGTAGCGAGAGGTTATGAACTGAAGTTTGAGTCGCCAAAGTCTGAGGGCTTGTCTTTGTTCACCCACGGGGAACGGGAATATGACAATCTTATCCTTTTCCCGCCGAAATCAAAGGGTATGAAAATTCATAGCTATTCTCTAACGCTTGTCGCAAATTTCTAATAAGGTCTCCAGGCTATGGACCAGCACTTACACCACAACTGCTCCTGCAGTTCGCAAATCAGGAAGGAAACATCTTGATCCTCACATCACCTAAAGGCACACCCGAGCAAACCCGCGAATTTGCGCGAGAGCTTGATATAAACCTTCCTCCGAAGGACTACCTCGTTGTGGACCACTTCTCACACGACACGCTGTCAACAGAGAAGCATGACATGGTAATCGTGAAGCGCCCAGAAGTGTCCACATCCACACAAAATTACTTCTCCCCCTCCTCTTCATCCACAGAAGACATAATTGCCTACCGCGGGGTTGGACACACCCTTGGAAATGGACCACTGCTCAACCCAATTCTGACGGCGGGGAGGACAAGCTATGCGTATGATACGATTGATGATTCTGTCTATGCTGAGGACCCATGGAGCGCTGGTAGCCAATTGCACCTTGTCTCCGCTCTGCAGGCGAGGAACAATGCCCGCATTACGATTTCTGGAAGCGCCGAGATCTTCTCGGATGTCTTCTATGGTCTCAATGTCAAACCGCCCGGCAGTGCCAAGAAAGTCAAGGTTGCGAACCGTGCGTTTGGAAGGGATGTCACTGCATGGACATTCAAGGAGACCGGTGTTGTCAAGGTTGTTGGCATCAAGCACTATCTTACCAACGAGACCGACGCGCAGATAAACCCCAGTCTTTACAGGATCAAGAACGATGTCGTATGTACTCCCGTTTTTCCCAAGTAATCTAGCTCCTCCATATACTAACCTCCACTAGACTTTCGAGATTGAGCTTGCTGAATACAAGTCTGACCACTGGGCGCCGTTCACTGTCCCTGCCAATGACGCTCTCCAGCTCGAATTCACCATGCTAGACCCCTACCACCGCATCTCACTCACTCCCTCAGTCTTCTCCTCCAACTCAACCACATACTCCACCAGCTTCAGGATCCCCGACCAGCACGGAGTGTTCGCCTTCCGTGTCAACTACAAGCGCCCCTTCGTCACTAACGTTGATGAGAAATACACTGTCACCGTGAGACACTTTGCGCACGACGAGTACACCCGCAGTTGGGACATCTCCGGCGCGTGGGTATGGATGGCGGGTATCGCGGTTACAGTTGTTGGTTGGGTGGCGTTCTGTGCGTTGTGGCTGTGGAGCGCGCCCGCGACAGAGGTAAAGAAGGGGAAGAAAAGTCAGTAGTTTTTGATATCCAAGGTTTATAGGTGATTAGATTTTTTTTCTTTATAACTTTAGTTTTCAATTCATATTTTTCTCTTTTTTTGTCTGGCTTTTGTGGGATTTGTATTTTTACAAAAGAATGTGTTTTGGTCGTAAAGAGAAACAAACACCATGATCGCGATTACATATTTGTAGCAAGTTAGCGCCAAAAAGGTACGGAGTGAGAATGAAGTAAAATATATCCAAAACCGGATATCACGGCAAAAAAAAAAAAAAAAAAAAGACCATTCCATCCATACATACCAAACTGTCCTCTCCCTTCCTCCTCCACCACCCCAGATGTCAATGATCATCCACGCACACACTATAATCCTCATAATCCGTCACTCGCACTAACCACCCCAACACGGTTTAGCGCCCTCCATGAACCATCCGACCCGCGCACCAAGCAAGCCCAGTGCTAGTGAGACATGTCCGATGACTTGTACTCTCTCACCGCATCCTAACCCGATGGACCATCAAAATTCCCCTACTTTTAGAAAGAAGGCCCGCGCTCGGCCGGAGGACTCGCAAGCAGAGGCATCGTGATCATCTCCGGTATCTCAACAAATCGATGCAATGACAGCGAGGGGTGCGTGATGGTCATGATGTGTTGTATGTGGGGGGGGGGGGGGGAGTTCATGGGGTGTCACTCGTCGCGCGGGTAGGGTAGGTTGAGCCAGCTTTGAGGGGTTGATGGCGTAGAGTAGGTAATCTATATGATACTATACTTGCTTCTTTGGCCTGGTCGGGCTTGGGAGTATGTAGGTATTCTGCAGCACTATCTGGAGTCACTCTACTCTACTCTACTCTAGATTCTACTCTAGAGTAGATTAATAGAGTACTATCGATGTAGGGGGGGGGGGGGCGGAAGAATGGTATGAAGTTGATTAAGTGCTTGCACGCACACCGGTACTATACTCTACCCACGTGCTACACCACGTGCGAGCGGGTGGGCGGTTACATACATGTACATGTACCTACCTACGCGTAGAGTACTCGTATTTCTCTGACGTTTGTGGACGCGACTGATATTGCAAAAATACGCCAAGCTCATGATTTCGGGTGTATGCAATAATGGCCCAGCCCAAAAACGTCAGCGAAATACTAGTAGAGCCTTCTCGAGTAGGTAGGTACATGTAGTGCATGCTGGGGACTTGATGAATTTCTATTTACCCGAGCGTCGGGAATTAACGACTCGTACAAACTAACGGCAGGAAGTAGTCGATCCCAAGAAACAATCAACGGGTAAACATTATCTTCTCGATACTCTACTCTACTTTAGTTCGTATGCATGACATTACTACTATACTATTAAGACTAAAACAATCTCTCTCTCTCTCTCTCTCTCTACTCCACTCTACCCACATTAATTCTAGAACTAGACACCAACACCAACTACATACTCATAACCTAAGTAGAGCTCGAGTACATACACCCGCCGCCTCCCTGATCCCAATAGTGAGGTGTATGCATAGATAGGAATACAACAGACATGACGTGAAAAATATTGAAGGTCCGGTTTTTTTCTGGTCAACAGTTCGCTCGCTCGCTGTGTAAAAGGGAAAAAGAAAAAGGAAAAAGAAAAACGAAATATGAGCTCGAGCAGGTACATATCGTCCCTCCGCCAGGGGAATCGTCCCAAAATTTAAAGAGAAAAGATGCAGTTATGGAGGGTGTTGATGGAGCAGACCAATAAACGAAATCATAGTGAACGAGACGCAGAATAGAAAAATATAAAACGTGAGATACATCGTTAAAAAGGCTATTAAAGGATACATAAATTTGCTAGAGAGGTTAAATAAGATGGCTGTTTGTGGTGGGAATATTGTAACAACGAAAAAATAAACGAAAAATAAGTATATAGAAATACAAAAAAGACCCCAAAAAAGTACTATCCCGCTTTCCCGCAAAAAACACAAACACAAAAAAAGCAGAACACTAATACGAAAAAAAAATAATCAATTCATTTAGTCCACTTCACGAGCTATAACCCGCGCAATTACTCTGGCCCATATCTGCTTCTCTCCGTGCCACCACCCTCCTCCCTGCCCGCCAGCGACTTCTTCCACTCCCTCCACTCCGTCGCAATCTCATCCAACACCCCCCCCATCACCATCGCACTCGCCATCAATCCATGCCCCTCATTCGGCAGCACCCGCACCTCACACACCTTCATCGTCTTACCCAGCCATCTCACGTTCTCCACGGGCACCCTCGTATCCTTCGTCCCATGATGAATCACGACATCACGTGTGATGTCCACATATCTGAAACCCACAGGCCTGTTGCGCTCAAGACACACCAGCAGATCTACAGCCGGGTTGGCATTGCGCGTTGACAGCGTCCAGATGGCATGTGTCAGACGCTCATCGTACGACATCTGCCGCTCCTTCTCTGCAACGGACGCAAGCGCGGCAGCAAAGGCGTCCATTTCTGGCGCCTTCTCTGCAGCTTCACCCGTTGACTCGCCGCCTTCTTTAGTTGCGTCAGCTGAGGACGAACTTCCAGATGGCGAATCATTCTCTCCCTTTGCGGCGGCAGCCGCCGCCATGGCAGCGGCAGCCTTCTCTTTAGCTTCCTGCGAGGAAGAGCGGGAAGACTTCTTTCTGCCCTTGCCACCCCCCGCCCTTGGGAGGGATGTTGTGAGGGACGACGAGGTCGCTGACATGAAGGACGAGTTTGCGGCTTTCAGTATCGGCGTGGGAAGTGCGCGGAGAATCCGCTGTGATGTTGGCACCGAGCCAACCTTCTCGCCCTTCTCCATGCCTGAATACACAACACCTTCCATCTGGGAAGGTGGGATCCACGGCGCAAGGAGATGAATCCTCCCACGGATATGGCTAGGCATCCTCAGAGCTGTCGCGAGCGCATAGATAGCGCCTGCAGAGTGCGCAAGGATGGAGAACTTTGAGATTTTGAGATGCTGGCAGATGTACAAGACATCGTCGGGCCAGTTGAGAACCGTCCGCTCTGTCTCATCTATGGGCTCTGATTCACCGACGCCCGGCCTGTCAGGCGTGATAAGGCGGAGGCCGAGTGTTAGTGCGAGCTCATCATAGAAGGCAGTAACGTAACGGGTCAGGCCCATCCCAACACACACAAAGACCGCAAACCCAGCGGGATCACCAACTTCAGAGAAGGAGATGATACGACCGGTGTTGGGCATGCGGATCTTTTGGGACAGGCGCTCAGAGCACAGATATGCATCCACAGCATCATCAACCGAGTCTGCAGACGAGGGGCGCTGTTCGGGCGTGCTGTGGAATGACGCACGTGGGGGTGAGGCTTGCAAGTGTGCACCGCGAGGAGCTGGGTCCGATTTACGTTTGTTTTTGCTGGGAGACCGGTTTGGTGCTGGGGCGCGGAGACTGTCGGATCGCAAGGGGTAAAGATTCTGCTTCGAGTTGCGTTTGGCCTTCTCGGGCCGAGCCTTCGGAAGTTCGGGAGCTGGTGCGGCTTCGTCGTTTTCGTCGTCTTCGTACGGGCAGCCACCGGCTTCGAACAAAGGAGATCCAAGGGGAGACGGGGCGTGCATAGGAGCGAGGCCTGCGATTAATGACGGCGGATAACTGCGAGAAGTGTGGGGAGATCCTTTCCCATAGCTGCTTGATCGTTGGGGTATATGCCTTGAAATATCCTCTGCCACATTCTTTCCCTTCCCAGCCGTGTCAATCCCCCCCGTAGGACTCAAAATCCCGGCCGCACTCATCCTCAATTCACCCTCACTCTCACGGTCCCTCTCCAAGGCCTTCTCCATCTTGATCTTCTCCTTTGAAGAAACGTAGCCCAATCTCCCACAGTCCTTCTTTGAGCTCTTGCCGCTCTCCCGCGAGCTCTTCCTCTCGTGGAGAGACTTCCCTGGCCCAACGACACCACCGTTCATATAATTCCTGACATAGTTCGGGATGTCAACACCTCCTTTCCCAACCGATATTCCCGAATAAGAACTCCTCCCCGAGTCGATCGAGCCATTCGTGTGCACCGAGAGCCCGCTGGGCGGTTTCGCCGTCCTCACCACAGGCGCCAAAGCGGCGTCATCCGGATGCAGAAATGCGTGCTCTCTGCCCGCCCCCACCGTATAGTCATACCCCGGGTGCTCCCTCCTATGTGAGATGGGCTGGCTCGGAGGAGCCAGGTTCCCGTACAGCGCGGGATTCTCGAGAGGCCCAGGCGAGAGCTTACTGAGCGAGTCGACGAGATTCGTGATCACCTCCGGCGAGCTGGCGGACGAGATTGAGCGGTGACGGGAGTGGACGGATTTCCGTCGCGGCTTGTCGCGGTTGTGGCGAGGGGTCGTGCTGGTGGGTTGATGGGAGTGCCGGTGTTGGGGAGTTGCGGTTGCAGGATCCCGTGGGGGCGGGGGCAGCGGCGGCAGCGGAGGGAGGGAGGATGTCATGGTTCCGGGGAATTATTCTTTTCTTTTTTCTTTTCTTCCTGTTTGTCTCTGGCTGTGTCTTCGAGGATGTAAGGAAAAGAAAGAGAACAAAGAATAGGGCAATAGAAGGGGGAAGGAAAGGCTTTAGTTAATTTAGTAGGTCACCGTTCCATATAATAATAATAATAATATGTTTGTGGCTGGTTCGTAATCCTGGGGTGACCGCAAAGGCTAGCTGGAATGCTCCGAAACCCGAACAAAGTGTGATTGATATATTAAAAAAGAAAACCGACTCCCAGAAACAAGCTAATTAATGGGTCGATCTTTTTTGGTTGCTTATAAACAATTCGAAACTCCCTCACTCACTCACTCTCTCTCTCTCTCTCTCTCCCCCCGTGTAATCCGTCCGCACCCTCACACGAGTGTTGTTTGGTGATGGGTTGTTTTGGAATTTGAAAACCCCTGAGGCAATCTGATCCCAGCTGTTTTTTTTTTTGTTGCCCAAACAAAACAAGCTCGTCGCACAGGCAACTCAAGCGAGAACGAGGACCGCCGATCCGATTCGGTCGGTTGTCAAGCAAGCAGACAAAGGTCACACTGCAGATTCTGGGGGAGAGGGGGCGAGACGCAAGGGATGATTGAGGCGGTGGTGCACTGGATGGACGTACGACGTTTCTGAGGCAGAAGCAAATGTATGTGTGTAGTTGTGCAACTGTGTGGGGTGAAAAAAAGATATGGGACGGAGGGAAAAGCCAGGAAAAGAGGGGAAAAACAGTAGAGAGGTACAGGAAAAGGGCCCAAGAGAACTGGCCAATCGAGTACCGGGACCTTTCTCCTGGAACCTGGAAAGGGGGGGGGGGGGATTTTTGTCCCTTAATTCTCAGATCTCCCCCCCCTCCTGAGAATAGAACCCCGGAGTCCGATAATTGCGATAGACGATGAACGACCACGGCCGACCGACCACTACTACCCTCGACTCTCTCTCTCTCTCTCCCTCCACCACTATGAGCACGGGATGGGATGAAAGAGCAGCAGTGAATTTTCCAGTAATGAGCTTCCCGTGCTCCCATGGGGTTGGGGTTGGGATGAGAGAGCACGGACGAAACGGGGGTGGGATAACCAATCGGGTTTCAACCACTCAGATGCCGAGATGGCCCAGTAGGAATCACAATTCAGATGCCCAATGCCCTGAGGATCCTCCGTATTGGAAAGAAAAAAAGCAGGTGGCCTACATGAAGATTATTGCAAGAGCATGTGCACATCATATCAATGCAAGGTAATATAACAACTTGCTTTCTCGGTAGCTCGGGAACTCTATTGATGTTGGTGTTGGTGTTGGTGTTGTTTGGACAAGTTTCAACGGATCAGATAAGTGTCCGGTTCGATACTGCTTGAAAATACATGTATGTGGTAACAAACAGAGAAAACTAACAAATAGGGGAACTAACAAGCGGAAAGGGCAAGGACTAACAAGTAGAAAGCTAGAACTGATAAGCAGAAAAGCTACTATACCAGGTAGAAGAGCAACTTTTGATAAAGTAATAACCTTGCAAGTATTAAATACGAAATAAAGTTAAACAAAAACAGAAATGCACAGACAACCCATATGCATTCCACCCGGGTGAGATAGCATGATCCTGCGCCGTTTATATTCCGCCATTGACCGAGCAGAGCCGACCCAACAACAGCGATCATCACACCCAATCACTCGTGCCCGGACCCCACCCGCCCCCGTCACTCCAACGTTCGTCCGTTTGACACGGACACTCACACAACAAGCTCTCTCTCTCTCTCTCTCTCTCCAACCTTCAACGGCCTTACTTGATTCTCCTGGCTGGCTGCATGTAGCTGAATGAATAGTAAACCATCCGAACAACAGAACAAACCCTGCCTAAATTGTCGGTCTGACAGCTGTACAGGTAAAAACATGATAACTAATCCATACCTAGGTACTCTACCAGTTTCTTTACCGTTGTCGCTGTTCCACCCGGCCCCCCCCCCCCCCCCCCCCTCCCACACACACACAGCTAAATGTAGCTCCAAGACAAGACACAATTGCAAAAAGAAAAAAAACAATTTCAAAAGCCACACAAAACACACGTGCACATCGTCCGCGTCCATCGGGATCTGCCCGCCCGCCCGCCAGCCAGCCATGCAGTGCACAATTCACCACGCAAACATCGCACCATTCTTGGCTCTAACTAGCTAGCTGTGTGTATGATGCTCACATGTACATAGCTTCTGGAAGCCTGCCTACCTCTACATACAACAAAAGAAAAGAAGCGACCCCCGATAGAGTACATACGTGAATAAGAACATCGAAGCCCCTTGGAGCATCTGTGTGCTAGGTGGGAGCTAGGACTGTACTGGAAATTGGTCTAGAAGTAATCAATGCGTTTCCTGTTACCTTTGCACTGTCTCTCAGCTAGGCCTAGGCCTGATGGGGATAACAGTTAAAATTAGTAAAATTAGTAAAATTGAAGGTACATAGGTCTCTACTCTAGAGTAGATGATATGGTCTGTATATACCTAGCATGGTGGTCCTAGAGAGGGTTTGGGTTCTTTCTACATGCCTACATGTAGGTACTCTGGTAGGTATCGAGTCACTCACATAGCTACATGTGCGTACTTGGTATGTAGTTAATCGACGACAAAAACCCATACTGTATAAAGAAACCCCAAGCTACATGGTTTATGTATGTAGACAATTGCAGAAAAACGAAACGAAACGAAACGAAGCGAAGTTTCTCAATTTAGATATACCCTATCCTATCCTACATAGAACCCTGAATGCAAAACCCAACCCAACCCAACCCAAACCCAAACCCAGCCCAGCCCAGCCAAACCAAACACTACCCGTAGTATCCCAATGCCAATACCCCCCCTCCCCACCACCTACTCCTTCAACCTCGCAATAGACCTCACCCTCGCCCCCCCCAGCGCCTTAATCCGATCATGCAGCCTCCCCTCCTCCTCCATCGCATACACATCATCGCAGCCGCCAATACTCTCCCCGGCAACCAGCACATTCGGCACCGTCCGCCGCCCCGTCCGCTTCCCCAGCGCCGCCTGGATCTCGGCGCCGTGCGCGTGCTGGTCAAGCTCCACCACCAGCGGCGCGGGGACAATGTTGTACTTGTCGAGCAGCAGCGTCTTGGCGCGCTTGGAGTAGGGGCAGTAGGACTTTGAGAAGATTACGACTGTGGATACCCCACCGTTAGCTAGCCATTCACCCACTATTCGGGGGATAAACACATACCCGGCGCCCTCTTCAGATACCCCTCAATCTCCACTCCCGCATCATACACTCCCCCCTCCCCCTCCCCGTCCCCCAGCACCTTCTCCCCCACTCCCCCCTCCTTCGCCTTCCGACTCCCCTCCACCACCCTCGGCGGGTCCGGCCGCGGGCCGGCCTTCTCCATCGCCGCCTTCTTCGCGGCGCCCTCGGCCTCCTTGAGGCGCTCCGCGACGCCCGCGCTGTCGCTGAGGTCCTGGCTGTGGTCCGCCGGCGGCACGAGTGACTCCTGCTGCTGCTTGGTGAGCCGCTCGCGGTCGGAGATGTCGACGAGGGCTTGCAGGTAGCGGGATTGGCGGGTGGTGGGGTAGGTGCTTGACTGTTGGGGGTTAGTGGGGGGGGGGGGTGGGGTCTAAGGCGGAGGGGAGGGGGACGTACTCGCAGGTATAGGATTAGGAGGAGGGTGGTGAGGGCGCCGACGGCGATGAGCTTGATGCGGCGGGAGGAGGGCATTGTTGCTGTGCTGTGGGTGGGTGGGTAGGCGGTGTTTCTGGGAGCTATGGCGTTGTGGTTTGGTGCTCTGACGCTCTGCGGTGGTTGGGGTGAGGTTGAGGGTGAGCCCGGATGTTTTATGTTTTAGGAAAAGGGGGGGATGGAGAGACTGTGCTGTTTCCCAATGTGTGCTAGCTAAGCACTTCTGTTTGCGGAAACGGCCCCGTGCGGGCTGCGGGCTGCGGGCCGCGGGCTACGGGAAGAATAAGCTCGCTTGTTGGTTGACAGACAGACGGCACACAGCTGTTGTTCTGTGACATGCAGGCAGTTGCTCAGGGCAAGGATTATTTGTATGGGGTGGCGGTGATCTCTCATACAAATCACTGCTGTTTCCGCCACTTGCATACGAGTCCACCGTGATGTCCCCAGTCCCCAGTCCACTTGCAACCCACAGCACGTGATGCGGCTCCCGCCCACGCACTAACCCCATCCAGCAGCCCCACCACCACCTCACCTCCTTCCACAGCTCCACAGCTCCACAGCTCCACCACACACAACCACACAACCACACAACCACACACAATGACAACCCTCTCCTTCCTCCTCCCCTTCGCCCACTGGCCCCCCCACAACCCCACCCCCATCCCGCTCCCCCCCACCACAACAATCACAACCGCCAAATTCCTCCCCTCCCACTCGCTCCTCCTCCTCGGCCTCTCCACCGGCTCCCTCCTCCTCCTCACCACCTCCCCCTCCCCTCCCCCTCCCCCACCTCCCCACCAACACTAACCCCCCACGCCCTCCTCCACACCCACCCCTCCCCCCTCCTCTCCCTCACCCTCGCCCCCTCCCCCTCCCCCTCCTCCACCCCACACCTACTAACCCTCACCGCCTCCGGGCACCTCCACAAATGGTGCCTCCTCTCCGGCCGCTGCCTCCTCTCCACCGCCGCCCCCGCCGTCTCCTTCGCCCCCAAAGGCTTCACAGTCCTTACCCCCCACCCCGGCGGCGACGCCGTGGTGGTGGTCTACGGGTGCAGCACCGAGATGGCCGTGCTGAGCGCCGAGACGCTGCAGCTGTCGTTCCTCTGGACTGGCAGCGTCGACTGGCCGCTCCCCGCTGTGGGCGCGGGTGGGAAGGGCGATGGGGAGGTGCTGGCGTGGATGCAGGGCGGGACGGCGCAGGGGTGGGTGGTGCAGCAGCGGAGCGTTGAGCGAGCGCGGCAGCGTGTGTTCCGCACTGACCCTTGCGAGGAGTGGGGTGAGGTATTAGGGTTCGAGAGGGCGGCCGAGAGCGACTATGTGCTTGTGCAGCGCGGGGGGTGAGGGTGTACACGGATGGGGGCCACTCGTTTGTGCTGCGAAAGTCCGTCGAGATGGAGGGCGGGGAGGGCGCGGAGGTGGCGGGGTATGAGGTGTTTGCGGAGCGGGGGTGGTGTTTGTGTGGGCTGGCAATGGCAGTGGGTGTGTTGTCCAGCGCGGGGAGGAGGGGCTGTGGGGGCGGTCGGGGACGTTTATGCGCCCGGGTCCGTGGCGGAGGGGGAGAAGTCGGTGGTTATGGCGTTCACGGAGCAGGAAGAGGGGAGCTGGGCTGTGGCGGCGTTTTCGCAGGCGACGCTGGAGCGGGGAGAAGGGTCTGCGCAGGGCGGTGGTTTGGCTGTCGGGGTGTTTTCTCTTAAAGATGGCGGTGGGAGTGATATCAAGTGGAGTGACAATAAAGAAGGTGTGCTTATTCTAATCTCTAATAAAACCATCATCATCATTAAACCTGTCGTCTGCCGTGATGTTAATATCCACATCTCTCAATAACCAGTCCTCTTCACGCCCCCTCCCCCAGAAGACGCACCACCGCCCTGCACAAGCTCCACCACCTTCGCAAACATGCTCGTCTTCGCCCACGGGCCCACCCTCCACCTGCACACCCTCTCCACCTTCCTCCTCTCCTACACCACGCCCACCAAGACCATCCCCCTCCCACCACATCCCGCATCTGCCTCCTCAAGCGCGTCAAAATCGGCGAATACATCGCGCCCGGCCGCCACGCCGGCGTCCACGGCGGCAAAGAATACCTCCTCGCAGGCACCACCTCAGGCACCCTCTTCATCATCGAGTCCCCCTCCCTGCACCCCTCACGGCGCCTCCCGCTCTCCGCCACCCCAATCGCATCCGCAACCCTCCTGCCCACGACGCTCGGGAAGCGCCTGCGCTCAACGCTGTTTGTCTCCTCGGCCGACGGCACAGCGTCCATCGTGGACGTGGAGCGCGCACGCATCATGGCCACGTTCCCGTCGCACCACTATCTGCACTTGACGTCGTTTGCGGCCAAGGCCGCGCAGAACGTGCTGCTGCTCACGTACGAGGACTGCGTGCGGCGCGAGTGGGACCTCGGCGAGGAGGAGGGCGGCGTGCTGCGGCCGCCGCCGCCGTCGAGTCGCGGCACTGGCAGCGACAGGAATGGCGGTGGCGGGGTGTATCCGGCGGACCTGGCCGACGAGGGGTGGCACGAGGTGCGGGTGGGGAGTTTTGAGGGTGGGGAGGTTGAGGAGGGCGAGGAGGAGAACGAGGGCCCTGTGGGCGGCGAGGCGGCGATGAGGGCGTGTCTGAGGTTCTGCGAGGAGGGGCTGCCGACGATGGTGGTTGATGTCAAGAGCGTGCTGGACACGCTGGGGGCGGCGGTGCATGTGGCGAGGCAGCGGAGTAGGCGCCATGAGCGGGTGGTTGTGGGGAATAATCCGGCGCTGATCACGGCAAAGGCGCTTCTCACGGCGGTGATCCCGGGGGCGTCGAGGAGCTGCTGGGGTGGGGAGGCAGGACGACTATGAGTGGCGCACGTCGGTTGAGGGGTATTTCTTCAGGCGGAAGACGCCCGCGGTGCTGGGGCAGATTGGGGCCGGGAAGCATATATCGTTGCTGGCGCCCGAGGCGTTTACGCGCAGTGGGGATGCGGTCTGGGGGATTGGGGGCACGGTGACGAGTATTGTGTTGCTGGCTGCGCTGGCGCTTGTGGGTGGGCTGTTGGAGGCGGGGGGGAAGGAGGAGTTCTTTGAGACGGTGATTGGGAGGGCGATGGAGAACTTGAACCAGGGGACGGCGAAGAAGGCGCCGGCGCTTGGGGTGTTTGCAAAGTATTGGATGGACCGTAATTGTATGTCCCTTGACTCGTAGAGAGAGATATATATATATACTCTTTTTGCTGATATTTGCGTCATGAGATAGTACTCGTTAGGAAGACGGCGAGGACTCTTATGCAGATCTGCATGCAGAGCCTAACCAACGAACAGAGGGATGACGCTGTTACGTATTGGTCAAGATTCCGCAAGTCGCCTTAATCATGATCCCACTGAAATTGTCGTGAGCTAATAATAATAATGGCCACTCCAGTACCTGTTTTGGTCCCGCCAGAATTGTTTTCCTCGAAAGATGTTGTGAGGAGTGTTGTGATCTTGGGCAAACTGACCGCCGATTACCCAGACAAGATTGAAGCGAGGTGAGTTAATTGGAAATGATCGCCACAACAGGAAAAGAAAAAAAAAGAAGAAAAAAGTATTCTCCTGACCACACAGAACACACAGCGTCAAGAAGAATGTTGCGCTTTCGGTGGAGCTGCTGCTTGGTGATAGCAATCCCCATTTCCAGGACACTGCGATTGAGTTGGTTGGCGATGGCTGGTCTGTCTTTCAATCGCTGTTCGACCCTGCTGAAGTCAGTATTTATCTCCCATATGCTCCAGTGAGGGCCAAACTAACAAAAACCCGTAGGTAATCCACATCCTAATCCGCATCTCCTCCACCCCACCCGACACCTTCCCCGAATCGCGCCGCAAAACCGTCCACGACTGCATCCTCTCCATCGCGCGCTCCAACTCGCCCCTCCTCGGCTCAGGCCTCGCAAACAACATCGCCCACGGCACCCCCTCCCCCACCCCCCCAGCCGCCACAACCACCTCCACCGCCGCCACCACCTGCGTCGCCGCAATGCGCATCGCCATCGTCGTCGTGCGCGCAGACGCCATCCTCTTCCGCGACATCCTCCCCCTCCTCGTCGCCGCCACCGTCAAGATCCTCGACCCCAGCTCGCCGCTGCGCGAGAAGGTCCTCCCGACCGTCACAGAGCTCGTCAACGAGCTCATCGAGGCCTACCCCAGCATCGCGTTCCACCGCCCCACGCAGCGCCTGGCGCTCAGTGCCGCGCCGGGGACAATCCTCATCTTCGACCTCAAGGCGGCGACGGAGATGAATGTGCTGCAGGGACACGGCAGCCTTGCGAATTTCCTGGCGTTTAGTGTTGATGGGAGGTATCTGGCGGCCGTGGACCTGGATGAGGGCGTGGTGCTGGTGTGGAGGTTTGTGTCGGGCTTGCTGAGCTTTATCGGTGGGAGTGATGGCCCGCCGGGGGTGCTGGTGCCGAGGAGGAAGGAGGCGTTGAGGAATGCGAGGAGGGTGGGGGTGGTGGAGGTGGAGTGGACGGGGGAGAAGAGTGTCAAGGTTACGGCGGGGACGGAGGTGACGGTGGTGGCGAATGTGGAGGGGAAGGGAGAGGGTGGGTGGGGCATTTTGTAATTTTATATAGTGGTGAGATGTTGAGTGGTGTTCTGGGGGGGGTTAATATCCATGAAGAATCAAATATAATCGTACGTAGATTGTGGTGGGAGTTTCAAGTGATTTTTCTTGTTTTCGGGGATGATTGAAGTAATAGAGAACCAAGAACAAAAAGTGTATTGTATGAACTGATGATTAGTAACAAGGAAGGCTCTCTCTTTATATGCACAGCTAGAGAACAAAATAGCTCGAATATAAAAGTACTTGGGTATGTACAGATAGCTTGGGGCCACGCCCAACAACTGCAACGACTGCCGCAAAATGTTGCCCGGAGCCAACCATTTGAATAGATAAGAGTACTATGTACTTTGTATACGTATCCTAAAGCCAACAGTAACATTGCTGTTAAAACCAATAAACGGTAACCGCTCCACGTTTATAAATACCCAAACAACAACAACAACGAGTGATACTTCATGACCGCGCCATCCTCCACACAGCCGAGTGACCAACCACTAATCCACCTTAGCCCTCCAATGCTCCGGCTTCGTATTTTTATGGAATGAAATTGGGAGATTTACTTGTACTTATAAAAAAAACCTACAAAGTAATAAAAGACATCTACATCTATCTACTATACTATAAAAGAATATGGTCTGAAAAGGTTTCGATAGACCGGCCCAATCCTACATCCGGCCCTGACCATACATATGGGGTTGAGGGGGAGGGGGAGGGCAGAGAGAGGAAGACTAAATTCTGAGCGAGAGGCTAAGATAATCAAGCTGGCAATAAATTTACAAAAAGTGATGCTGTGGCCATATACCTCCACGGGGCTATGGGCCCAACTAGCAGCTCCACTTCCCGTTACCAATATACAGGCACAGCACCACTCCCACCCCCGGAGTTGAACCCATGACCTACTGATGGCCATGGGGACTCAACCCACTCGGTGTTCCTCCATGACGAGGCGTCTACCCCTAGACCACACTCGGCCACACAATTCCCAGCAGCCCGGAAGTAATACTTAAGGGGAGGCGAGGCTGGTAAATTATAAAACAAGCTAGCTACATAAGGACACCTAACCCTAGGCCTGCTGGCCATGAGAGACTACCACAATGCACATCATGGCCCACCAACATCTTGTACAAGAAGAAAAAATCACTGTGGATGGTTCCAACTGTAGCTTAATTCTAGGTCTCGGCCGGCCCCGGAGCAAGGGAAAGCCGGAGCAAGAGCCATAATTCCCAGCCTGCGTGGTCCACGAGGGACGCTCGAGGCGAGGTTTGGGGGTGTCCTCGAGGTTCCTCGTCCTCCTATCCCAAGCGCAAAAGTGTGCCAGGTAGGATACCGGGGGATTCGAAGAGTGAGGGTCGTGCTGCTGACGGTTGGTATTCCCACTGGCCAGGTAGTTAACCAGGAAGCAGCACTGTGGAGTTTACAAGAGATGGGGGAAACCGGGGGATTGATAGCGAGTAGAGCTTGCTATGACATGTAGAGTTTTGGGCACTCGTTGATAAGGACAAGATTGGCAGATTGCAGGGTTTAGCAAATACATGTAGTTGGGCAACCGTGAGATTTGTTGTGTGTGTGTGGAGGTTTTTTGGTAATTGGGGCTTGTATGGGGTACGTATGCATTGTAGATGTAGATACGTATGGCTACTTCCTCCCTTCTCTAGTTCGAATTCGTTCTACCATGGATCCCATGTCTGCTCGCCCCAGACCGACTTCTCCCCCTCATTATGATGAGCGTGAGGGTTTTGCTTCTTCGAAAGCCGGGGATTTTGGTCTTATTTGCTTCACCTCGACTAGCTACATAATCTAGTCATGTGTGTACTAGTCATAGTAAATCATTCGCCTACACTTTTAAATTTTCCATTGACTCATTGACGATCACCCGCATGCCAGCAGGGCTTGATCACACATCTAAACTGCACGTGTGATTATATTAAGGTTAGCTTTAATGGTTCAAGTTTCCTCTCGCCGACCAGGTTTGAACTAATGGTCTTAAAGAACATCCTAGGCGATCGAGCAGTCTATCCAGAGATTACACAGGGAAGTACATACTACCATATTCATTGCCAGTATTACCCTCATATATATGGGACTCTCCGCTACATGCCTGAACTTGAATTTGTGTTGTCTGACGTCGCCACTAAGTTTAACTGACTGTCAGGACATGTGGCATCCAAGAGTGGAAGTTTACCTAAAGACCACGTTTTGTTACTTGCCTGGATACATGCTGTAGATCAACCCTCGATCGCCTTCATTCCTCTCTTCTCAGTCCTGCTTCCCATCTAGCCAATCTTTACTCCGTGCCTCCACACATCTCGGCCCCGGTCATCCCATGCGAGTGATATCTCGTGCCCGAGACAAACGCACACCTTACAAACCCTAACCCACAGCAACAACCAACCAACAACGTCGAGAGTCAACTGGTATTACTTTACATGTATTACTGACATCGGGCAGATGCATGTTTCAAGCAGAAGCCCTATCACTGCGAAACATATCTGAGAACTCGTATTCCATCCTGCCGTCTTATCTGCTGTTGCATTCAAAGATGACTGACATCTCCGAAACATCCGAGACCCCTCTCTATCTCCCTCCAAAGCCCCGCTGCTGCTGCTGCTGCTGACATCGCCGCGCCGGGGAAACTGGAGACTCATCCAAATCAGACTCATAAATTGCAGCTAAAGTCACGATTCTACGGTCACTGCTACTCCGCATTCCCACTCGTGGGCTTATCGCAATCTCGGCTTCTTGTTCTAGTTCTTATTCCCGGTATCGAAATCTATACACCGGCGTTATGGCAGACACCCGTAAAACCGTCGCCATCATAGGTATGTACCCGAATTACAGCACCCCAAGTATCAGGTCGTTAGTCTACGGAGCCCGTAAGCTAATATGTCTCTCCCTCTCTAGGCGCTGGCCCATCAGGCCTCAGCACTGCGCGCTCCATGCTGGCCCGCAATATCACGCCCACGCTATTTGAAGCGAAGCCCACCATCGGCGGGCTCTGGTCCTCCTCCAGCGCGGCGGATATCATTGCGCTCGACCAGGGGCTGACATTGAACCACTCGCGCTACACATGCTCCTTCTCAGACCTTGCCTGGCCAGAGACGGCGCCCATGTTCCCGCCCGTGGCGGAGATGGGCAACTACTTGCAGCGCTACCGCGAAAAGTACATCCCCGAGTCGGCGCTGAGGCTGTCCTGTCCCGTGACAAAGATCACAAAAGAGGATGACGGCAGCTGGAGAGTCGAGTGGAGAGACAAGGTAAAGGAGGAAGATGGCGCGGAGAAATTTGACTTTCTGGCCATATGCTCCGGCTTCTTCTCTGCGCCATATGTTCCGCCTATCCCCGGCCTTTCAAGCTTCAAAGGCGAGGTGATCCATTCTGCAGACTTTGAAAAGCTCGATATAAAGGGCAAAAAGAAGATTGTCGTTGTCGGCGGGTCAATGACCGGTATTGAAGCCGCCGCGGATATTGCGCTCCACCTCTCTTCGCAAGAGGGGTCGGAGAAGCCGGAAATCGTGCATCTCTTCTCACGCCCGTTCTGGAATCTGGCAAAGTACTTTGCGGTCCCGAACGAGCAGGATCCGACGGCGCCGCGCTTCCTTCCCTTGGACCTCCTGATGTATGACTTCAATGCGCGGCTTGCGGACGCGGGAAAACCGCCAAAGTCGATGGAGGAGATCTCAAGGGCGGTTAGTGAGAAAATGAAAGAGTTTGTAGGGCACGACCAGGCGGAGCTGTCCCCTGAGATGCAGGTAACGGAGAAGTATATGAACCAGATGCCATGGGTCGCTATCTCGGACTCGTACGGCAGCTTTGTGCGCGAAGGGGCCATCAAGACCGTTCTTGGGCGCGTGGCGGCCATGGATGGAAACACAGTCAAGTTGGAGCAGGGCGAGGACTATAGCGAGACAGAGATCACAGACGCAGATACCGTGATACTGGCAACCGGCTACCACCCTGCCTCTTCTCTTATGAATATACTGCCCGAGGATATCTATACAGCCCTGACATCCTCCTCGACGCCCATCCCCGAAGACCCCAACTTTGCACCACTCATCCTCTACAACCTCTGCCTCCACCCGGTCTTCCAGCAGACCGCCGGTTTCGCCGGAATGTACAAGGGCCCCTATTTCGGCATCATAGAGATGCAAGGCCGCTGGCTCGCCGCCCTCTTCTCCGGGGAGGTCTCCTGGCCCAGCACTGAGGACATGACCACGGCCATCACCGATCTCGCCGCCGCGCGCACAAAGCGTATCGATAGTGCCGAAACCACCTTCCGCCCTCAATGGGCTGCCCCCGACTACATCGGCGTCGTCAACGACATCCGCGAGCGCCTCTCCATCCCCTCCGCGCCCTCCGCAACCTCCTTCTTCCCCAACACCATGATCCCCGCGCACTTCGCCCCCGCCTCCAGCCACGCCGAAGCCACCAAGGCCCTCTCCGACCTGCAATCCCTCCTCGTCCCCCCCACCCCTATCACAAAATTCACCGCCGCCGCCGTCTTCCGCGGCCTGCAGGGCCACTGGTCCCTCTCGCGCCGCATCACCTCCCGAAACAGCGCCTTCCCCAGCGGCACCTTCACCGGCACCGCCGACTTCCGCCCGCGCGAAGCAACCTTCACCTCGCTCCTCCAGCACACCCCCACGGGCCCCACATGCACCACGGCCAACCTCACACACACCCCGCTGCCCAAGACCCCCGGCGGCGAGTGCGTCGAGTACCTCTACAACGAGACAGGCACCTTCCTCACCGACACCGGCTTCACCATGACCGGCGCGCGCAGCTACATCTACCGCTACCACCCCGACACCGACACCATCACCGTGTGGTTCGTGAAAACGGACGGCAGCGGCGCTGTCGACTACTTCTTCCACGCGCTCGAGTTCCTCCCTCCAGGCGCTACTAGCACCGATGGCGGGAGCAGTGGGGACGGCGAGGTCGACCAGCCCGGCGGCTGGAAGGCAAAGAGCGAGCATCTGTGTGTCAAGGACTGGTACTGGCCCAGTTACCGGTTTGCGTTTAGGCCGCGCACGCCGGATCTGGAGAGGTTCTGGATCAGGTATCGCGTGGAGGGGCCGAATAAGGATTATACGGCCGAGGCGAGGTATGGGAGGCCTTAATTTATGGGGCGGGTGGCCTATGGTGGTGGTAGTTGGGTTGGGGGGGGGGGGTTGGACGATGGTGGTTTATGGAGGTGGTTTACTTTTATGGTAGTGTGTCAATGATTGGTTATCCAAGTTTTTTTTTCTATAGCGCTAAATGAATGTCCCCGCTCTCTGGTTTGGGAGAAAGTAAAAGGTACTTTATATGCGATGGCTTAAATGTAGACAAAAAGAAAAAAGAATAAAGGAAAGAGAAAAGGAGAGTTGAGCAAAACCGAACACCGCTCTTCCCTAAGATCGATCCCCGGGTCGTTATTAACTAGTATCTTCCTCGTCCGTCTGGAACATAATCCCTACTAAATTCCCCAACGATACTAGTATGCGTGCTTTCTGCCACTGGCAAATAGAAGTGATGGTAAGTGGTAGCAGTAGTAGTGCGGCAATGATAGTTTATTCAAGTTTTCCCATCTATAGCTCTATAAATGTGCCTTTTCTTTTCTTTTTCTTTTTCTTTCTTACCGGCTATGAAGGATGTATGTGAAGGGTATATACATTGGCCTCCGTATGCCGTAGAAAGAAAAAAGATTGGTCAAAACAAAACAGCAAAGAAAAAGAGAGAGAAAAAAAAAGAGGATCACGCAAACCGAACGACCTTCGCCCCCGCGACCCCCGAAGCCCCTGAAGCCCCCGAGTCATTCCCATCCTCCTCCTCCTCCAGAACCAAATTCCTCCCCGGACTCCCCATGAACCCGTGCCTCTTCCTCTTCGGCGGCTCCTCCGCGCCCGGCGTCCTCTTCCTCTTCGGTGTCGACGCCATCTCCCTCTTCACCCGCGCCCGCGCCACCACCGGATCGCCCGGAAGCCCCTCCACCTGGTCATACACGCCGCCGTGCTTTCCATGGCCAAATAGCGGCTCTGAGTCCTCTAGCATGCATGCAGGCCGCTTCTCCTCGCCCGCCACGATCGGCAGAAACTCCCACTTCCTGATGATCTCGCACATGGCCTCGTCGTCGACGAGTGTCTTTGCATCGCCTCTCTCGCGCTCCGACATCTCTCTTCGTCTTGCCAGCACGGCCTCTTCGACGGTGCCCTTGAGATACAGAGTCTCGACGTACACCTCCCTCGTCTGCCCGATTCGGTGCGCGCGCTTCACGGCCTGCCGCTCGACGTCGCCGCGCCACACAGGGTTGATAAAGTAGACACGCGAGGCAGCGCAGACATTAAGGCCGTGCGCGGCCTGGCGCAGGTCCATGACGAGGATGCGATACTTGTCCGAGTGCTGGAAGGTGCGGAGGTGGAGTGATTTTTGGGCGGGGCTGAGGCCGGGGGAGTAGGCGAGGGTTTCAATGCCGAGGAGTTCGAGTGCCTGGGTGAGGTACCAAGCAGTGTCCTGGTCTTCGTAGAAGACGAGGGTTTTCTCGGTGGTGTGATGCTTGCGGATTGCCGTGACGAGGTAGGTTAGCTTTTTGGAGGCCGTGCCGACAATGTGCGGTTTGGCGAGGGCGGGCATGGTGGAGAGGTCGGGGAAGCGCGGGCGGGTTGGTGGGGGCGTTTTGGGGGTGTTGGCGGCGTGGTGGGGGTCGGTGTTGGGTTGGGGGTGGTGCTTGCTATCGCGAGTGTTGTGGAAGGCCTGGCCGAGCGCTTTGAGCTTGAGTATTAGGGCGTCGTATTCGAGCCAGCTGTGGGCGTTGAGGGACTTTTGGAGATTCTGGATTTGGGCGCCGCCAATTTCGTGGAAGCCGTTCCTGGGAGTGGCGCCAGGGATGAGTCCCCATTGCTCGGTGAGCTGGTTGGGAAAGTCGGCGAGGAAGTAGACTATTCACTGTTAATCAACTGATAAGATGTGGATTTTGATACAGGATCTCACCCATCTCGTGGTAGGTGGTGATATTTCTCCATGTTGGATCTTTGAGAGCTGTTTCTCCAGCGGCGATGGACTTCTCGAGCAGTGCCCTGTCTTCGGGCGTGCATTTCTTGGTCTTTCGATACTTCCTACTGGTCTTGACATGCGATTCAATGTCTTCAGGAGAGTATCCGGACCAATAGAACCCAGCTCTCTTCAGAAGGTTATCAGTCAATTTCCTTAGGTTAGCCTTGTTGTCTTTGTGGAACATATAGTCCTTATCCGACCTCTCACTGGTTACCGCATTGACTGCTAACGCTCCAATCAAAAGGTTCATAGAGATCTTGTCAAAGTAACTGGGCTCCAAAGGCACGTCCTTTTGGTACAAGGGCGGAAGTTCTACAGAGAATGTGATATCCTTAGCCGTGTGGCGGATGAAGAACTTCTCAAGCATTGACTTCATCCGTGTGGGATTCATGTACCGCTTCCACTGGGACAAAGTCCACGGCTCCTGCTTGAGGAAATCGCACACCATCTTCCCAACTCTTTCCAACTGTGCGGCTTCGTTGATCTTGGTCTCCTTTCTATCCTCAAGAAGCTTATCCGTATAGGCTTCCTGATCCTCTACGCTGTCCATCGCCGTTCCAGTCATAATACCAACAAGTTCGCTGGTTGGTGTTCCTGTCACAATCCACCGGCGCTCTACGGGAAGCTTATCGGCAACTAGAACACTGTTTGTCTTTGAGCCTGATGCCATGGAATGACCTTCGTCGACAATAAGCCTCTTCCAGTGGATCGACATGAGCGGGGACTTATAAACATCCTCTTTCCTGAAACAAGTACAGTTCGGGGTCCGCGTTGCCCCCATATATGGGCATGTACAGATGAGCGGCTTCCCACCCGATTCTCTACGGCCCTTTTGGTCAAGCCCTTCCCGCGCTTCCTTATCGAACCTGCTTCTCGAAAAGATGATGACATCGTATTTCAACAGCTCCTGGATGGTTGGGATCTGATCTTTGGAATTCCCGCACGTGAGAACATTGAGCGCATCCTTTTCTAAATGTTTCTCTATCTCGCCCTGCCACTGTTCAACGAGGTTCTGAGGACACACGATAATGGTCCCTGAACCGAGGTAGATCTTTTCTTTGAGCGCGGGGTCGGTATCGTAGCGGCTGCTGCGGGACCGCACGGGTGGCTGTATTTCGTAGTAGCCATGGCTGTCCAGGATTGCCTTTTCGCAGTTATCGGGTAGCTGGTCGGTGCCTGAGTACTGCTTCCATGGGATCGCGTTGCGCCAGATGGATGCAATGCACATACTCATTAGGCTGCCCACGGCGGGGCGGACCTGTGGAGGTTGTTCATATTCGTCGGGGGTGAAGCTGATTTGGCTTTTTGTAGCAAGGATAAGGGCTAAACACACCAGAGTTTTACTGGATGACAGTTAGCAAGTTACTCGACATTTAAGTTTACTTTTAGTATTGATTAGTACGCCACAAATGGACGGTCGATGCCAACTGAGACGAGACCACCAGTATATATCGGATGAAGCGGCCTCTACAACGGTACGGAGCTTTGAAGGGCCCGACAAATTAGGAAGGGCCGATGGACCACAGGGTCTTATAGGAATTCGTTCAAGATTTTAGTATCGAGATTACGTTTTTTCCTACCTTACCCTGAAGCCCGCCGTAGTCAAGAGCTCCATACCGTCACCCGCAGTCACCGACGGTCACTCGTAATCACCCGAAGCCCTTGAACTACCGGAGTGGGTGTACAGCCAATTGGGGGTCAACGACGATTTGGGGTTTTTCTAACCAAAATGGCTTGCGAGTTGTTCCAGCCCTAATTTATATTAACGTATTGGTTAAAATCCATCGTCATTGACCGTCAATTGACTGTAGCCGGCTATGAGCAATGCACTAGGAGGGACCATTGCGAAAACTAGTGCCATGCCGCCGCTGCGTTGAATGGAGAGGATGGATGAGGTCACGGTGCTGAACTAGAAACAAGAGTAATGTTGAAGGACAAACCATACCCAGTGCCCATTTCCTCAGCCAGAATACCACCCTTCACATCCTCAAAATACCTTGGGTCCTGGAAGAGTTCTGTAGTCTCAAAGTCGTGGAAATAGACACCTTCATCGGGTCCATGCACACTTGTCAACCTTGGGTCCATTGTTTGCTCTGGTGCCAGTTCCTTTTGCAGCATCATTGCTACAGTCCTCTTCTGATGCCTATAAAGAGTGGTTTTTACCCCCGGCAAATCCCTGGTAAGGACGTCATTAATCAGCTCCTAACTCCAATGTCAGTGTGGAGAATAGAAACCAGATGGGAGGGATTACCTTTGTATTTTCATCCTTGATCCAGAAACTTCCCGGATCGGGCGCAGGTGACTTCAATTTATTGAACATGTAGAACAGACTAGCAGTCTCCTCGATCTCTTGTCTTTCGCAGTCCGGACTTTCGCTCATTTTCCATTTCTGCTTTGAATCGTCTGTTGCTGAAACCACGGTTCTCAAACATTTCCGCAGGGTTGTGTCTTCTCGTTTGATATAAGTCCTGCCCAAATCATCTGGGAGAACGTAGATCCTAACCCTGGCACTTGATTGTGTGTTAGGAATCATCTGGTAGGTGCATCTCAACCACCCAGCTTCGACAAGTGCTATCATCTTTGCCTGTATCGACTGTTTGGGGAATTGGTGGGACCGTCCCGGAGTTTCAAGCCAGAACCAGCCATCCGGCGCCTCCATACCCACAGCGGCCCTGCGTGGCATGGGTATGTCGATCGTTCCAACGCCACAGAAGTTACCGAGGTCATTAAGGAGCTCTATTGTTGCTAGGAATTGTTGGCTTCTTGCCGTGCTCGTATTGCGTTTGCGCTTGCGTGGTATTGGTGAGGACTTGCTAGCATTGTTCTGCGCTTCCGGAGGGTTGTTAGTACTTTTAGGACTTGGGCTTTTTGCGGGTAAGGGCGCTTACAGTAAGGGATCTTTTGTGGCGAGGCGTAGCTATTGATATGGTGGTTGTTGGAGAAGACATCGTTCCTGCTGCAACAACTGCTCAAGTGTGTTCGAATGTCCGTCGCGAGAACTACTCTACGCGTATAATAAGTGTGAGGATCCACGATCCCTGCAGGAATGGCGCTTAGTTTAGCGTCTCGTCACCATGCACCTTATCAGATCTACACACGTCTCGGTGTACTACCGCAAAAGTTGGAGCGTTGCACCCGGGTGTTAAATAAGATCCTGGTAAGTTTCTCTCACCAAAAACTGAAGGATTCGCCACAGTTCGAGCAATAATTGGTGCTTTTTACATACTAGGATCTTCTCTAACGCCCGGGCTTTACGCTCCAAATCTTGCGGTAGTATTTCGCTGACGTTTTTGAACTGGGCCATTATTGCATACACCCAAAATCATGAGCTTGGCGTATTTTTGTATGGCATGCAATATCAGTCGCGTCCACAAACGTCAGAGAAATACGAGTAGGTACCTGGGTACTTCATGTCGTTGTTATTTAAATTTATGTACTCATACTGTGCAGCAGCAGCAGCAGGAATCATAACGAGCAGATCAGGCCTAGGAACCCCAGCAGGTCTGACTGTCTGGTAGCCCATTAATTAGTGGCTGCATAAAGTACAACTACCCTCCGTAACGGAACTACATATTCCAAAATCACCCACTCGATATAGTTCAATACAGCAGATAAGATTCTGTGTGAAATTCGGATTCGGATCACCAAAACTCGTTCGTTATACTAGGGCTGTGTTTCTTTAGGAATTCGGTGTGCATTCGGTATAGTGGTGGGTGACTCTAAGGAATAGTAGGGCATTCTGGTTTATGTATTATCCACAGTTTATGACGAGAGAAGTATGTATACGTGGATAAATGTAGTTTTAGATATTCTACAATCCACAGCAAGGAAAAAGGACTACATGGAAGAAAAACAACCCAATAATTCCGGTCATTCCCACAAAGACATCAAGAACACCATTGACTACGATAAGGAATCACATATTAAACCCAACAAAAGAACTTTTAATTGTATTTGAAATTTGCCCAGCGCCCCCAGTTTCCTAAGATTTATTTTATTTTTATCTATTTCTTGTGGATGAGCTTCTGGTAGAAGTTGAGCTCTTCGCCCTCCAAGATGTATCCATCGACACGTCCGCTCTGTCCCGGTCGGGATGAGACACAGGCAAGGATACGACCAGCGGCGAACTGGGCCTCAAGGGGACCCTCGACCTTGGCGGTGGCCTGGCGAGCAGCAATCTTGCGCTGAACAGACTTGGACTTGGACTTCTCCTCCTTGGCCTCCTCAGTGGCAGCGGCAGCGGCCTTGGCTCCACGTCTCTTTCCGAGGGGCTGGCCGTAGTGGGCCTCGTACCTGGTAAATGTTAGAATATGAAAACGTGCCTTTGAATAAGGTTGAAATTACCATTGACGGAAAGGAGCGGCATCAATCTGGACGATGGCGGACTTGGTCAAAGTGTTGGTACGGACCAACTCGTTGTTGGAAGGGTGGAAAGCGACAGCAATGACACGGGTCTTCTTGCTGATACCCTCAGAACCCCACGAGAAGTTTCCAGAGTCCAAACGGAGAGCACGGAACTTGCGGTTTCCACCACGGGTGCGGACAATGTGGATACCTATACTTTGCCTTAGCATATATGTTCTCCGGGGGATAACCCCACATCCTTTGACGGTGGATGTATAGCGCCCAGAGTTTCCCCACGAGAGAAAGCAATGGGGCCTCCTTCTATCTCGGCGCCCAGATAGGACTGCTAGAGTCCTATCGAGACGACCAGAGATGTTGAACAGAAGGGTTTACCGTGGAAGTCATAGAGACTACTCACGCTTAGTGTTTCCGATACGGGTGTTGGCAGGCTGGCGACCGAGCTCGAAAGCACGCTTCTTGCGGTAGGTGGCACGTTTGGCACCGGTAGCGGAGCGCTTGTGGCGGGAGTCACGAGAAATACCCATTTTTGCTGGTGTTTAGGAAACTTTGATAGAGATTGAATGTCAGTCAATAATCCACATAAAAAGGCTCAAAAACTATCTCCCAGGATATTGGCTGGAAAAGAGAATCACAAGGGGGTGCTAAGGTGTATCGAGGTCCTTGAATCCCCCGAATCTGGGAAATTTCAATTCACCAAATTCCCGTGATTCAATCAACCCCGAAACCCCCACCAACAGCTCCCCCCCCCCAATCGCATCCCATTTCCATTCAAAATCCAAGGATAGCAACGCAGCAAAAGGGAATCGGCAAAATACCTAATGGCGTGGTTTAGTCTGGAGTCGAGTCGTTGGGCGTCGGGCGTAGATTTGTCGAAGATTTTGAGCGTTGTTGTTACCAAAATAGGGTCTATGGTTTATGATTGTGTGTGCGCTAGTGCCTTGCCAAGATGTTGTGACTGTTATTTCGCTGAGTGAGATTCTATGACGCAACGTTTAGGTGAGAACTGAAAAATGCCTGAAGTATGGTCAGTAACTGTATTCTCCACCTGTCAAAAATAAGAGCGCACGAGTACTCCAGTAATGTCAACAACAATATGAGAAAAGACTCTTTAAAAGGAGGGTTCTGATTCGCTCAAGCCTAAGGTTAACACTGCACCTAGGCATAAAACTTGCGTCGACCTTTTCAGGGTTGAAGAAATGTGCAAACCCGACAGGTTCGAGCCGGGAGAAACTTCAATATTGTAATCCTTCTTCCGGGGAGTATTGTACCTTTTCTCGACAGCTCGTACTGTTCTCGGGGCTTATCCTTAAACCACCCGCAAGCAGGTTAAGGTGCCAATGGGAAATAGAGGTCACTGCTAAAACATAAAGGAGCATAAGCCCCGTATAACACGGTCTCGATGTTTAGGAGAGATCCCGAGAACACTTTATCACCTGAACCAACCCTGTCCCGCATGTCCAATCCACACTACCTCCCCGGATTTGTTGGCGTGATGCTACTAAAAACTTTCCCGTCATAATTGATTCTATCTCCTATTATGAAATTGACAAGCTCACGCCACTTCACAATATTGTACCCCTAACGATCACTTACCAAGGGGGTAGAAGCTGTTTGTGTAGTCGCAGAACCGGTGTAACATCCAGAACGATCTTTCCTACAACACATAACTCAAGTAACTGCGAAACCATTTTATGATTTTAACAGCTGTATAAAGCTATCGCGAGCTTAGAAGGGCGGGGCACCGTTTCTTAGTAGCTATATTGGCTACTACCGTTCGCTGTAGCTTCTTGAAATGTTAAATTTGGGCGCTGAAAAGGTTGACCTTTGGTAATTCAACTACCTCATACAGTCTGACTCGCTATGATATAAAGAGATATAATACAGTTCTAGATTCCAAACGGAAGATTCTCACAACTCCAATCCTACAGAATTAGCTTCAGGCACAGCAGATTGTATATCCACTTCTTACACCTGAGTATTATTACCAGAACCCGCCTCTGGATTCCTTCCTATTTGGTACCGGTTACCTCATCGCCTTCTGGAGATATAGCGCTCTTAGGCGCTCCTGTTTGGCCTTCCATCTCTGAATCCTTTGTCCCCCCTTCCTTAACCTCTCCGCTGGGATCCTCCATATCTACCACAAGCTCCTCTTCCACGAGCTCTTTCGGTACCTCCTCTTTGGCACCCGATTCCTCAACAAGACTATCGCCCATATTTCCTGCAACTATTTTCTCCAAAGCGTCTAGATTCACCTCGCCTGTCTCTTCTAGCACCTCCAATTTCCCCCCTGTATCTGCCGCGATACTAGCATCTATTTCCCACCCTTGCGGATGGCCTTCTTGCGATGTTACATATAATGTCGGGTACTCCTCCACTATACGTCCTCTTAGACAGTCCTTCAGCGCAGCCAAAGGGTTCAGCTGTATCAGTGTAGGCTTGTTGGCCGGTGTTCCAACCTTGCGGAGGTAGAAACGTGTTTTGGCCATTTCGGCCTTTGCCTTTTTGCGGGATTCGCCATTGTTTGGATGGAAAAATGCATGGAAGAGTATCGAGGTTTCGGTAATTCTGAAAGAGAGGTCCGTTAATATGAAGAAGCAAAGTAAAGGTGTGGTGGAAGGATCAGGTACCTGTCGTCTAGGATCCTCCTATTCCCCTCATCACACATAATCCACTCAACTGTCCAGCCCAGCACCCTCTGTTTCTTTGTCCTATCCCATCCGCCTGTCAGCACCCAACCAACACCTTGCAGAAATGGCGACATAGGCGCATACTTGACAACATCTGTCTTATTCTCTCTCGCCCTCTTTAGTCCTCTCGGAGCGCTCTTAAACACAACTCCGCTCTTCTCTATAAAAGCTTGTCTATTCTGCAGTTTCTGTTTATTCACTTTCTCCTGCTCCTCCTCCTCCGCGCCACCATCAGCGCGCAAAACAGCCTTCTCGACGCCAGTGAGGAAATTGAAGTCCCGGTTCAGCGCAGAGGGAGTCGTGAGAGCGGAACGTTTGAGATATGCGGTCGGATCACGGGTGCCGCTACATTGTTTGTATGTTTTATGGCGCTTTGAACATGTGAGGGAACAGGTACGCGCGTCGCAGGCAGGGCATCGATATTTGGGCGGCGCGGCGTTGCAGAAGGGACAGAGCTCCGAGAGCAGAGTTGTATCTGTTGTTGGCGTGATTGGAGCCGGAGATGGTTGTGAGGTGGACATCGTATCGTGAAGGAATTTTTTTTGGGGTCAAGGGTTGGTAGGAATCGGGTTAAAGTAGGAAGGCCGCTTATCTGCGGCGATACTAATAGTATGTAAAGGGCTAGTAGGAGCTTGATGATATAGAGCTGCGCAACCGCAGAGACAACCCCATTTCTACATCTATTCCACTTCGTGTCGTTAACCACTTTAAACCGACCTTGTATCTGGACATAATCGCCCTCTCTCTGATACTTTACTGCTACAATATCTACATTGAGCCCCTATAAAGTAACTCGGTAGTGTCAGTGGTCGTGCAAATAAGCTTTACGGTGACAAGCAGCTCCGGGCCCCTCTCCATGGATCCACTGTCTAAGACCTTCAGAGCATCCTACCAATGCAGAAGAATCACGCCACTGGGTAAAGATTTTGCTGGAACGGTATGTGTTTATCCAGTAAAAGGAAGAAAAAGAAAAAGAAAATCCAAAGGTAGCATTGCATCATGATGCTGCACAGGAATGACACTAGAATAGAGGGGGAATTCTCGTACAGTGGAGTGCATTAACAGCATCGCAGGTTGAGCAGAGTCTGAGCAGAGTAGCTTTCAGCACTGTGCTTCATTGCCGTTTTCTGCTGTATCACAAGTCAATGATCACTCCAGCTGGTATTCCGGTGAACGGCTAAGTTCATCCCATCTTGCGTCTTTTCTGTCATCGATGTCGACTTCGATTTTCAGTAGGCAATAAAAGAACAGCTGGATCCTCGGCTTCTCCTCACTTTCTTTCCCCACTTTCTTTCCCCTCGTCAAGTCCGTCGCTTCTTTGATCCCGTTTATTGTTCTTTGCACCGCATATACAAATCATCAACTCTTTCGAGCATTACATAAAGACATCCCATCCACTCACAACCATGGCCACCCGCACGCCCACCACACCTACACAATATGACTCGTTTTAAAAAAATGTTTGGTCAATTCATGACGCTAACATAAGAGAAAATTCCATGCAACGATGGATGGATACAATGAGATACCCAGGAGAATAACGGAAAAAAGAAAAGGGAAAACGAGTGGGAAGAAGGAAAAAAAACAATCAATACAGCCACCACATAAACTCCAAGGCATCAATCACATCCCACTTTTTGCCCAACAAAAAAAATAAACAGAAAAAGGAAAGAAAGAAAAGAAATTTATCGATCCACAGGGAAAACTAAGCAGTCCCAACACCATCCTTGCACTCGCCCGTACTTGTAACGGCAGCCGATGAGTACTTGGCCGCAAAAAGCACACTTGGATCATCCTCGCCAGGCGCGTTATTTTTCTCAACAATTAGGCCCTTGAGCCACCTATTTTCCATTTCGAGGCGGTTAATACGCTGCTCTAGGAGGGAGCACTTGTCGGTCATCTCTTTCGCAGTACGCTCAAGTGCCTGCTCCCGTTGCTTCTTCTTGACTCGGAACCTTGCTGATGCTGCCGTGTTGCGGCGACGCTTATCTTCGTCGGCCGCAAGTCGGGAGGCTTCCTCCAAGCTATCTGGCTCGCTCGAGGCTTTTCGCTTTGCGGGCCGGGGTGTGGAGGGTGTTGGGGAGGAGGTAGAAGTGTATGGGGTGCCGGCATTGGAGGCGGCAGAGTGGGGATTGGGCGGGGCGGCCGCAGCGACAGTGGGAGTGGGGACTGACAGGGGAATGGCGGGCTGCATCTGCTGGTGCTGCAATGGTTCCACTACGCCTCCGGTGGTGAGACTTTGGAAATCAAAGTTGTCAAAATCTGCTAAATTTGTCGAAACTGGCAATCAGCTTTCATGAACAATATTTGCTAATAATTTCCCTGGATAAAAATATAGCAGAAGGGTGTTTCGCCAGATTCCAATGAATTTCAATATCTATTGGCATTAGGTGCCGCTAGACATGACAAAGGTGGGGTGAAATGACAGCCTTCCGCGGGGTTTCTCGTGCAACGACAACAATAGCAACAACTTGGAACAACCCCATCCTACGAACTTGACATGAATTCTACATACCATAGAAGTCCATATCCACTGTCTTTAGTCCCATATCTCCTCCAACAGCTGTAGTCGCTGCAACATCCCCGTTCTCCTTTTTGGGATCAAGGTCGAGGTCGTCACTAGGTTGGCCCATGTCAAAGTCAAAGAACTTGGCCTCGGTGTACTGGGCAAGATCATTGGGGTCAAAGTCGTCAAAGCTGTTCTCGTCTCGCCGGACGACGTTTAGATAGTCAAAAATATGGCGCCCGCCTGGAGTGTAGCTACTCGACATTGTTCGTCTCCTTTGTGGTCGTCTTCGTTCCAAGTCACTGAACTGTATTGTACTGGACAGGTAGGTAGTTGACGGTTGACTGACGTTGATTTGGTAGAAAATGGGTGAGCGCTGAGTAATGAATGGTTGGAAGGGAGACGTGTGCGCATAAGCGGGACCCGGTGCAACATACCTGTAGAGTACGTTCGGCTTAGCTTACTGACCGCTGAGCGGAGATAAAAAAAAAAGACGCGGATGAACTTCGGAGCGGCAGGCAGACACTAAAGCAGGCAAAGGGGGGCAGAGGGCAGACAGTCCTAACGGCCCCAACGAATGAACCAACCATGTACCTAATCAGCCAAAACAGTCTTTCTTTTTGTTCTTTTGAGAATTATAGAAGTTAAGGCAGTGGAATCCTGGAAATCCAGGAGACGAAAACGACTACTAGGTGATAAGAAACCCGAACGTTAAACTACGGGGAGTTCCTCTGATTTCTTTGTCTCCCTCTCGCAGTGCCCTGCGCCCCCCACAAAAGACAAAAAAAACTGACTGACACAACACTGAACCACGTTCCACGGTAACGCGGAAGCGGGAATAGTCCGAATTGTGATTGTGATCAAATAAGGAATAGTGTGGGGTACGGCCATTGGATTTGTCAAGTCAAGTCATACCTGCCCCTCCACACCATCCCTCCCTCGCTCTTGCCGTCCTGCATAAGAATCTCCACGATGAGATGGATTGATTTCTAGGGTTTGTAAACTCGGCCATCGAGTGGTACTGTCGTACCGAAGTAATCAATCAAATCAATCGGTATTGAAAATAGAGTACAGGAACGTAATTTATCCGGTATACCGATTTCATCCGGGTAACAAATGCAGAATAATCACGGAGGGAAGTAGCAGGAGGTTATGCAGGTACTAAAGAAACTCATGGATTCGGGAGGTTTTCCCGAAAACCACATTATAAATCAACTGGAGGGTCAATGATCGGATTATCGTTCGATAAGTTCCGCAAATCAGTTGTTGACGAGAAAATGACGCTGGGTGGTACCTATGTAGAGGATGATCGTTACATGCCTGGCTTTTGCTGGGTATATGCCTGCTTGTGCGATATCGCTACTAACATAATAAGGCTTGTTTGAAATGTGCATTCACATGATGGTTCTATCTTTCGCCCATTATTTTTCATACCAACATCGCCCCATTGGTCGGAATGATTCTGCAACTCTAACGAAGATAAAATACAGTCAGCCTGAAACCTTGTTTCTATGTCTTGGGAGTGTTAAGCTTGGATACGAGGCCGGGTTGAAATCAGGATGGAGATCTTCACGGCCCATAGCGAATCGAAGGGATTCAAGTTATCGGATATCTCTCCTCGTAAGTGACTGGTTGTCTTCTAGGAACAATCAGCGATAAATATGTAACACTGGCACCGAGAAGGATAGAGATGTTTAGACCGAACATACCGAACCGTTTGGAGCCTTAAAGGCAGGTTCATCATACTGACAAACATGGAAATTTGGACTAACACACTCTTGACGTGTTTGCTGTGCACAATCCCAATTGCGTACGTAAGCGTAAAATATCCCCCACCCTTGCGAGTGATCACTAATGATTCTCTCAACAACTCAAAGCTCCCCATACATCCCGTTGCATCCAGCACCACGTTCAGCTAATTGTTTTTTGCTGGAGTTTTATCTGACTGGCCACGGTCCCCTATCCTTATCAGTATCAACACAATATCATAGTTGACCTGTCAACAATTACATCTCACCGCCCGATCCGCATAGTTCCGTCCTCAAGCGTCCCACATAATTCTGGACTGCGAACCTTTGTTTGCCAGAAATCGAAGTATTACATGTGAAAATAGGCCTTTTATCTAGGGCCTTTTATCTAGGGCTTAACAAGGCCACACCTTGCTCGCTTCCTATGATGGGATTCACTATTCGAGGAGTGTGAATTCTGTCCCTGCAAAGACAGCTTTTGTAGTAACCCCGTTTCTCTCTGAGAAACCATTTACTCCACACCTGAAGAAACACGAGAAATTTCGGGTTGTACAGGACCAGAATGCGAGCCAACAACTGCATGATACATACAAGATTTTGGCAATATATGCAGGCTCAGTCCTGTCAAAAAACGCTCCGCGGTCACGAGTGTCCCTTCTTTAGCTGCACAATCTTTGAAACAGTTGATCTTACCACAAAAAGAACTGAAACAGACCCAACTGAGGTATGATACAAAAAGAGCCACAAGAGAGCTGGAACCTTTTGCGCTGCAACCGCTGTCACGACATAAGCAAGTCTAGTAGACAAAGGCTTTTCTTTCTTGATCAAATGTTTCTTCCTGCACATAAGGCTTCTTGTGCTATGGAAGGGCTCTACCCCCTATCGTTGGAGCTTTGCTTTCACAAATGGTACCTATTTAAGATGATCTATCGGTCACTTGTTCCTTTTGGAAAGCTCGTATAACTCAGCTAGTTGGTCCGACAACAACACCGCCAGCACTGTGGCTAATCAGAGAGGACTTTCAATGGGCATAATAATTTCAGAACATCTTACCTCGCACCCCCTTGAGCAGTGATGTCTCCTGGATAATACTACCCTCAGTTATCTTTACTCTATTTAAGTAGTATACGTAGAAAATTAATTGCTATAAAGACTCATAACTGGTCTTCCAGAAAAGGCGAATCGTCAAACGATGATCGTTTCTTGGAAAAGGGCAGACTTTAAATTCCTCGATACAATCCTGGGCTATACCATTCAACCAGTTTCTATTCGGGTAGATAGTAAAGGTTTACTTTACCATTAATTCTCGAATAATCCACTATTCCCGTATTTGTATATGGTAAGTCCGAACCAAGGCTAATTGGCGTACCAAACTTCACGGACTCGTGCAGGTATGGTGCGCACACTCTTACAGGTGATATAGTGGCATACGGAAGTAGAACAATTGTGGCTGCAATAGGGCCTCATAGGCCAATTCTGCTGCATTACTGCCACGGATCAGTCAGATTTGCTTTTCTGGGGTATAAATGGGTATAATACTGTTCCACTTTGTTCAGTCTTGGCGCATTTTACATACAAAAATACACAATTTCAACTTCCTAAGGCTTTACAACCCAGACAGATATTAAAATTCTGAAATGACAGAACTAAACTTCATCACTAGTACTAGAGTTCTATCATTACGCTTTTTTTTTTACGATTTTTCGTTGAAAAGTTATAAGCCATTGACATTTCGTCGCGATCCGCTACCTTTAAGCGTGGGCGCACCATACATACTTTTTCTCACCCGGAATTAAGATTTAGCGAAGCGGGGATAGTAGATTTCTCGAGAATTAACGGTACTGCACTAGGAAGCTTCTATTTTACCTCAGATGGCTGTGGTTCGATAGTATTACCATTGAAACCGCCATGGCTATTAGCAGAGCCCGGGTATAATTCAGTGACGCGAGTCTCTATTCGGGGAAGGCCGAAAGTACCGGACAATACAAATTTTGTCTCTGGGGTTTTCCCCCCAGTAGTTGACGCCTAGTACGCGCACCCATTGGTAGACCAAAACCTAGTAATATTTACCTGCCCCGAGTATGGTCGCACAACTCGGCTAAAACCTGTTGGAACTCTCCTAACTGGGAAGTTGAGACGCTCCAGCAACGTGGAGCGGAGTATATATGAAGGATGTCCGCTTGCTGTACCCGCAAGCAATTTATCCCCAAGTCACAAGAGGCAAGAGCATAAGCATTTACCGCCTCACCGGAATATCAAGCTTTACACCACATGTTACAAGAAAATATCCAGATGAATAACCGGGGTAACAATGCAGGTTTTTTATATGGCCGAGTGACATATGGTGATTCGTACATGACTATCTGATTTATTGATTAAGTCGTTACGTACATGCAGCTCGGGGGTTATGACAAGACAACATATACATCTAGTCAAGAGATAATTGCCAGGAAGTTTCTGAATAATCTGATTTACGGGGGCTAAGCACTAAAGTATGGTGTTCGCGATCTACCCACTATGACAGCCAAAACCAACGCCGATACCAATGCTCGACAACGCTAGTTTCGTGGAATTACAATAATACTAAAGAAAAAACTTCAAATCAAAGGATTTAGGGATTGGCAAAACAAAATAATAAACTCTGTTTAGCCCTGTGGCCATTTGTTCACTGCATTGAAGTAAAAACCATTTTGAAGCGACAATATAACACCTGGTGGAAGTTGGGCCTATAGTGACTAACTAGCGTTATAGGTACTTTATATAGTCATCTTGCTGTCGGGGGAGGGAGATACGAGTTATAACCGCCCCGACAGCTGTTTCTCCCTAGATCCGAAAGAATATAAATCGATTTCTTGAAAGTCACTACGAGCAATTTAGACGACAAAATATCCCCTTAACTATGGTTCCTCAACCCCTAAAGATATATAGCGCATATCATCAGAAAAATGAAGTTGGTTGAGGCCAGGTTAAAAGTTCCACACGAGTTGGGCCCCAAAGTCTCTAGCTTTCAGGATGATGGGTAACGCTTCTTACAGTACCAGTGTAGTCCACGGTCGTGCTTCTCCATGCACCTCGAGAAGTATTAGTCGAGGTGGTCCGAGGTAGTACACTCCTCCGCGGGGGGGGGGGGGGGGGGGGGGCTTGGTGCACTGTGCACTCCTGCTGCAGGTACCTCTCACATTACCTGAGGATGGTGCAAAAAAGAATGAAAGGAAAAAAGGATTGTATGCAGTTATTCTCTGTTCTTGGTGTTCGAATGAGCACTCAGGAAAAGTGTGGGGAAAGAGAGGTTTTTGTAAGACCACATTTTTATTCTCATACTAGAAATTCTTGTGTTCCCACCCGAGACCTGAATACCTATATGCTGATATTTGTAAATCGGTCCATTGAATTAACAATAGAGATTTTTCCTGATAACAATGAGAATTAAGGAGTCCATAATATTATAATCATTAGACGATACAGTAGGTTTGGGAGTAGGCAATATTGTTTGCCAGCACTCTTCCCCCATGGTTAG